AGATGAGCCCCTCAGGTCAGAAGGTGTCCAATATGCTACTGGGGAAGAGCAGAGGTCTAGTACTAGTAGCGCCAGAAGGAATGAAGCAACTGGGTCAAAGCTGAAAGGACACTCAGTTGCCGATGTATCTGGTGGTGAAAGGAGAGTCCGATGCTGCAAAGATCTATTCTCCATAGGAACCTGGAAGGTAAGATCCATGAATCAAGGCAAGCTGGATGTGGTCAAACAAGAGATGACAAGACTGAACATCGACACCTTAGGAATCAGTGAACTAAAATGGACAGGAATGGGGGAATTTAATTCAGATGACCATCAGGTATACTACTGTGGGCAAGAATCCCTCAGAAGAAATGGAGTAGCCTTCATAGTCAATAAAAGAGTAGGAAAACATACAAAACATGTTTGGGATACAATCTCCAAAATGTCAGAATGATCTCAGTCCGTATCCAAGGCAAACAATTCAACATCACAATAGTCCAAGTCTGTGCCCCAACCACTGATGCTGAAGAGGCTGAAGCTGACCGGTTCTATGAAGGCCTACAACACCTTCTAGAATTGACACCAAAAAATGATGTCCTTATCATCATGGGGGATTGGAATGCTAAAGTAGGAAGCCAAAAGATAACCGGAATACTAGGCAAGTTTGGCCTTGGAGTACAAAATGAAGCAAGGCACAGGCTGGTAGAATTTTGTCAAGAGAATACGATGGTCCTAGCAAACACTCTTTTCCAACAACCCAAGAGACGACCCTACACATGGACATTACCAGACAGTCTACACAGAAATCAGATTGACTATGTGCTCTGCAGCCAAAGATGGAGAAGCTCTATACAGTCAGTAAAAACTAGACTAGGAGCTGACTGTGGCTCAGATCATGAGCTGCTTGTTGCAAAATTTAGGCTTAAATTGAAGAAAGTAGGGGAAAGCACTAGGCCACTCAGGTATGGCCGAAATCATATCCCCGATGCGTATACAGTAGAGGTGACAAATAGATTTAAGGAATTAGATCTGATAGAGTGCCTGAAGAACTATGGACGGAGGTTCTCAACATAGTACAAGAGTTAGCAACTAAAACTATCCCAAAGAAAAAGAAATGCAAGAAAGCAAAATGGCTGTCTGAGGAAGCTTTACAAATAGGTGAGGAAAGAAGGGAAGCGAAAGGCACGGGAGAAAGAGAAAGATACACCCAATTGAATGCAGAATTCCAGAGAATAGCTAGAAGAGACAAGAATGCCTTCTTCAATGAACAGTGCAAAGAAATAGAAGAAAACAATAGAATAGGGAGGACCAGAGATCTCTTCAAGAAAATTGGAGATATGAAGGGAACATTTCATGCAAAGATGGGCATGATAAAGGACCAAAATGGCAGGGACCTAACAGAGGCAGAAGAGATTAAGAGGTGGCAAGATTACACAGAAGAACTATACAAAAAAGAGCTTAACGTCCCTGATAACCACGATGGGGTGGTGACTGACCTCAGAATGTGAAGTCAAATGGTCCTTAGAAAGTCTGAGGAACAACAAAGCTAGTGGAGGCGACAGTATTCCAGCTGAGCTATTCAAAATCTGAAAGACGATGCAGTAAAAGTGCTACACTCAATATGCCAGCAAATTTGGAAAACTCAAGAGTGGCCACGGGATTGGAAAAGGTCATTTTACATTCCTCCTGCAAAGAAGGGCAATGCCAAAGAATGTTCAAACTACCGCACCATTGCACTCATTTCACATGCTAGCAAACTTACGCTCAAAATCCTACAAGCTAGGCTCCAGCAGTAGGTGGACTGAGAACTACCAGAAGTACAGGCAGGATTTTGAAGAGGGAGAGGAACTAGAGCTCAAATAGCCAACATACGCTGGATCATGGAGAAAGCTAGGGAGTTCCACAAAAGCATCTACTTCTGCTTCACTGACTATGCTAAAGCCTTTGATTGTGTGGATCACAACAAACTGTGGCAAGTTCTTAAAGAGGTGGGAGTACCAGACCATCTTATTTGTCCCTTGAGAAACCTATATGTGGGTCAAGAAGCAACAGTGAGAACTGGACACGGAACCACTGATTGGTTCAAAATTGAGAAAGGAGTTCGGCAAGACTGTATACTGTCGCCCTGCCTATTTGACTTATATGTAGAGCACATCTTGAGAAAGGCGGGCCTAGATGAATCACCAGTTGGAATTATGATTGCTGGGAGAAATATCAACACCCTCAGATATGCAGATGATACCACTCTAATGGCAGAAAGTGAAGAGGAACTAAAGAGCCTCTTGATGCGGGTGAAGGAGGAGAGCGCAAAAGTTGGCTTGAAACTCAGTATCATCCGGTCCTCTCACTTCCTGGAAAATAGATGGGGAAGAAATGGAGGTAGTGACAGATTTTATTTTCCTCGGGTCCAAGATCACCACAGACAGGGACTGCAGCCAAGGCTATGGTTTTCCCACTTGCAATCTATGACTGTGAAAGTTGGACCATAAGGAAGGCTGAGCGCCAAAGAATTGAGGCCTTTGAATTGTGGTGCTGGAGGAGACTCCTGTGAGTCCCTTGTACCGCAAGGTGATCAAACCGGTCAGTCCTAGAGGAGATCAACCCTGACTGCTCTTTAGAAGGCCAGATGCTGAAGATGAAACTCAAATACTTTGGCCACCTAATGAGAAGGAAGGACTCGCTGGAGAAGAGTCTAATGCTGGGAACAATAGAAGGCAAAAGAAGACGGGGATGACAGAGGATGAGGTGGCTCAATGGAGTCACTGAGGCAGTCGGCATGAGCTTAAGTGGACTCTGGGGGATGGTGGAGGACAGGAAGGCCTGGAGGAATATTGTCCATGGGGTCGCGATGGGTCGGACACGACTTCACGACTAACAACAACAAATCATTCAGCAACAGCACCACCGAGCCTGAGGGCCAATTGATATCACTGCCTGGTACCTTCCGTTTGGGGAAAAAAACAGAAGAGGGGACAACCTCTAACTACTAACCATCTGCCCTCCTTCTGTAATGACTTTTTAAACCCCTAGTGCCGTACCTTCCCCTGCCCATAACCACCCCAATGGCAATGCCCCTCTGCTCCCCAGGAACTTCCATTCCAATTTAAAACACAGATGTAAATATAGAATGCAGACATAAAACTAGGATGCTATGCATTTAAAGGAGGAGCCCTAATGCACAAAATGCCTCTGGCTCCACTCAAAAGAGAAAACCTCACCAGTACAACATTTAAAATTTACCAAGCCCAACCTCCCTGCAACACAACCAAAAAGCCCCTGGCCCTACCCAGCCCCAGATGGCCCCAAACGGCTTCACACCCTTTGGCTGCCAGGTGTCTGGGGAGGGTGAGTGTGTAGATGGCAATGCATAGGTGGAAGCACTGGGGTGAGGAGCCGGGTGCAGACCTCATCCCTTGTTGGCGGCAGTATCCCTGGGGGCCTTTGTGGCGTGGCACAGCATTGGGCAGGCTGGCAAGCAGGCAAGCAGCAGATGGGAGGGTACATCTGTAGTCCCTTGGCAACACATTGGAGCAACTGTTGCTGATTTATTAACTTTTTGCATCATTTTTAGCACCAAAAATGTGTAAATGTTTTGGAGATTTTAAAAAATGATGTCAACAGTTTGCAAAAGTGTGCAAAGATATATATATCCCTGATAAATGCCCCACCAAACTTGTTAATCTTTGTCAAAAACTTTGTTTAAAAAGGAATGTTTTTGATTGCTCTCAAAAATAAGTGCTCCTGTAAATGGGTCTGGCTGCACTTCCCATTTTTCTGAGCACCTAGTGGTTGAGGAAAAGGAAGGAGGCATGGAAGAGAGTGAGACCTGTCAGGTTCAAAATTAATCATATAGAACATTGCTGCAAAAGAGGTGATACATTCACACACACCCCTTCCTCATGCAGCTGCTTGCACTTTGACAGCTGTCAAAGGAAAGAAATGTACTGGAAGCCTGGCTTTGTCACTGTCTCTGGGTGGCACTTGACTTGGTTGACAGTAGGTGCTTACCAGGACGTAGACCAGGCAAGGCCTCAGGTTTCCAGTAGTAAGAGTTGTGAACTACCCCACTTTTTTAATTCACCAAAACCACCATGAATTAAATTCTGGGGCAAGATGATGATAATGGCGATGCTTGCAGTGATAATGATGGTGGCAGTGATGGCAAATCACTGATGATGGCTCTACTGTTCTGCTTAGGAAATTTGGAGACTGTCTCTGGTGGAGGGTCCAGGAGAGTTCAGCAAGATCAATAAAGGGCCTTTGTGGGTTTTGCACAGTGGCTCACTCATCACCTATCACAACCCAGAATCGGGTCACTCGCCTGGGTTCAGGTGAAATGACAACCCTCGACACAAGCCCTGTATTAGGATGGCTTGTTGGGGAAAAACAAGCCACCCTGGGGGAGGGTCCAAGTTCACACAATATGACAGCTCACTGAGACTAGTTACCAATGATGCATTGCCACATTATGCAAATGGAGTCAGTAATTCAGACAGAAAAACAGAAACAGTGCGAGTCAGAAAGGGTCTCCCAGGCCATCTAGTCTGAACCCTGGCTCCAGCAGGCTCCACATGTGCATGTCCAGCCTATCTTTGAACAACTTTACATACATTCATACACACACACATTCTTATTCTGCCCCTCATTATATATTATCAGAGAGAGAGAGAGAGAGAGAGAGAGAGAGAGAGAGAGAGAGAGAGAGAGAATATAAAGGCACTTTATATATAGTGGGGAGAGAGAATTAATAGGCTGTTGATGGGTGAGAGTCATAGGGAAATTGCGGTGAAGAGAAGAGACTGGATTGGAATGCCGTCTCCTAAGGGCTACATGGCAGCTGCTGTGGCATTATTACTCTCTTTGCCAAGTGGAACAGATAAGATCTCCATCCATCTCTGAAGTTACAGCTTCAGGAATTTTGCAGCATTTCAAGATTTTGCTGCTAAACCAACTGAAAATGCTGTGTGCTTGACTTTTTGGAAATAAATGTAACCAACACTCTGTGATACTTTTGGTTTTAGGCTGTTGAACTCAGCAAAACATCCCATGAATACACTAAAATTGCGAATCTCTTTCAAACGACAATGAGCAATTATGTCATCAAGAAAATTAAAAGGATTCAGAACCCATCCCTTTGGCAAGTCTTTCAATGGTTTGTATCCATCTCATCATATTAACTCACCCAGTGTTACAAGGGATTTGGAAGGGCTAATTTGAATATTGCAGAGAGACATAGAAACAATCTGCCAAACTCCCCTCACTTGTTCAGAATCTTGTGAAAGATGGGCACGCCTTCAGCCTCAGTGAGTGCGTAACAGCCTGGGTATGTTGCCACCACAAGTAGCAATAGCCTGTGCATTCCCAAAGGCTCCTTTGCATGTTCAAATATAAATGCCTGAAGTGGGCTCCTCTGGTTTGGTTATTTACTAAAAAGCAACCACTGAAGATGTGCTCAGGAGAGCTAAAAACAAGTTAGGATGCTTAATCCTCTTTTCTCCTGATTTTCCACTCAAACTCCCCCAGTAGCTTTCTCATCCATAGGGTAAAAGATAGAAGGTGAAATCAGCTCAGGAAATGCCACTTTGGGTTGACAGTAGCAGAGAGGGAAAGGACAAGTAGGCACTCCCTTATCTCTCTTTTCAACTGGCAGTTTGCATTTAAAAACAAAAAGCAAAACAAGAAACACCATGGGCAGATTGTGTATCTCTTACTTTTAGCTTTGTGCTGATAACTGTGTCTTATGAGTGTGAGTTTAAATCTCAAATGTTATCCCCTGCTGCTTCTCAAGTCAAGGAAGAAATAAGTTGGAAGGCAAAGTTGGATGCCTTGTGTCATGAATCTCAGTTTGATTTTAGAAATGGCCACAGTACAAATGCCAAAAAGTTCTAAAGTGAATGACTCTTCCCATTCTCATTGCCAGCTCATGTATTCAAACCTTCTGCTGTATGAATGGACTGCTTGCATGAACAGATCATCAGATTCATGTGGCTCTGGTTTATGTGAGGGAGCAATCCTCTGACCTCTAGACAGTGTCTGAAGGACCACTGGATTTTTCAGATTCCCAGCTCTAAGATTAGAGACAACACCCAACCCAACTGGGTGAGTTTGGGCCAGGCACAGATGCTCAACCCAACCTATCTCACAGGCTTGTTGTGAGGATGAGATTGAGAGGAAGAGAATTCTGCTAATTGCCTTGAGTTGCTTGAAAGGGAAAAAAGCAAGATACAAACATGAATATTTAAGTAAATGAGCTCTGCCCTGTCACTTGTCTGCCCCCTCAGATTATCTGGAAACAAGGTGTGCTGGCTGATCTCTGAGATCAGGAAAGTGACTTTATGAGGAAGTTAAAGAGGGAAATTTGGGAGGAGGCGTGGAGACTAGAAAGGCCAGATTATCTTACCCTGAAGTTTCTCCCATCTCTTCCTGTTCAAGAGGTGCCCCAGTTGATGAAGAAGCTCAGCTAACAAAAATGCAGGATGGGAGTGTGGGGAAGTAGCAGTTACTTCTGCTCTGTATGGGAACCTGTAAACCTCTGATTTTGGAGGTTTAATGGCATTACATGAGGACTGCAGCCTAAGAAACTTAATTAGAGATCAGGAAATCCCTGGATCTCAGGTGTGAGACCATCAAGTCAGCATTAAATGAGCCAGTCACTCACTCTCAGCCAGTTTCCTCATCTGCAGTGAGTATAATAATGCAGACCTACCCCTACAGAGCTGCAAGAGAATGTGAACAACTGCAAATCTTCCTGCACTGTAATGTAAAAAGTGACTTTACCCTTCACTACAGAAAGGAAGCTGCAACCACCATGTAGATTGAGGAACTGACTGATCCACTCATATGGGCATATACCTGCACAAGTGAACTGGCAGATGCACATGGGAAGCATTTCTTTTCTTCAAAAAGAAGCATATCTTCTTTTTGAAGAATAGCATAGATGTAATTCTTATGGTTACAAAACTCTCAAAGTTGTGAGTGTGCATGTATGTGTGTGCATGCATGAGAGCAAGCGAGCACTGAGATAGCAAGATACAGAAGAGCTGCTGAATAAGATTTCATGTGTGTAATTGTGGGAGATGGAAAGAATAATTGTCCAACAAACATGGCACCACACTGAGGCTCCGTGAGTAACGCAGAGGCAGTCCTGCATGGCAGCATCACTTGGGAAGGAAGGGGATGCTCTGAGCAAGGCAACGTTCTAACCATTATTCACATGGCTGAACAAAGCAGCCAGCACACAGGATCAGCAGAGGGAGCACCATCCATTTTTGAAACAACCCATATGGATTTTTCTTTTGCCTTTGGAGGGAGAGGAAGGCATGTGTCAGCAGGAGCTGGTGTTTGTGAATGCTCAGACCTTAGTTAATCCATGCATATGCTTGATTTCTCAGGGGGCATGGAGAGGTATTTGTGGGGGGAGAAATGCTCATGTGAAAATGCATATTTCAGTGTCCCTTTTTGCTATAGGGTTCTCCTGGGTTCCAGAATTGCTTTTCCATGTGGGTCTGTGTTTGCATGCTTTGGAGGGAGGGGTGCATGTGCGTGAGTGCATGCATACATGCTTTTGGGGGTTCTCTGTGTATTTTGTGTGGGTGGGTGTGGATACTTGGGGTATCTACTGTTCAAAGGGATTCTGCTGGCTTCTAAAAGGATATAACAATCATTATAATTGCATGCAAAGGGATAGCTGTGGATGCATGCAAAACTTGCCATGCTTTCTCCTGAGCAATCCAGTCCTCCTTACAATGTATATATATCATCTGGAATTGTGTACTATGCTGCTTCTGAGTAGGCTTGCTCTGGTGTAAGCTTTATGATGGATAAACAAAGGCAAAGCTTTGGGATGCTTTTGGAATTCGTTCCTGTGCTCCAAATGCTGCTTTTCTGTGCGGCTCACATATTTCTTTATTTCTGTGATCATCATTCTTACTGTGGCTGTGTGGATTCTCACTTCCCACTCATTTTAGTGCCACTTGCTCCTCAGTGGAATGGGAGTTGTTGTTGGAGCAGAGTAAGGGCTGGGGCATGGGTGACAGTTGGGACAGGCAGAACAGCAGGATCAGGGTACTGGTGTGAAGCCAGGTCCTACAACTTAGTAGGGCTTGAGGCTGGTAGTGTGGTCAGCAGTCCAGGGTCAGGGTAGCAGGCAGTCCAATATTATACACAAGTGAAAGAGAGAACACAGTCCAGAAACAGTCCAGTGGTCTGATGCCAGGGAAGCAGTCATGCAAAGGTGGTCTGGACAAGAGGGGGCTGGAGCAGGGCAGGAACAACTGGTGCAAGCAAGAACTTGCAGGAGCAGGGCAACGGCAGACTAGAGTGCACAAGATCAAACAAGAGCAAGACAGGAGCAAATGGAACAAGCAGAAGCAGGCTGGAGCACATTAGAGTCCTGGAGACTACTTGCATTGCTGTGGCGAGGAGCAGCAGTGCAGTGAAGCCTTTTATGCTGGTCTTCAGGACCTCCAGCAATTCTGCACTGCACAATTGCTCCACAGATGTTCCTTGCAGGTGTTCCTGGTTCTGCAAGCACTTTGCAGGGTCATTCCAGCCCTGATCCTGACAAGCAGTAGAACATGGGTCCAAAGGAGATCTTTTGTATGACTGAGTGATTTCTGTATACCCTTTACATGTTGTGCACCTCAGCTTCCTCTTTCGGTGCATCACTTTCTGATTGCTGTGGATTCAAAGACTGTTCTACCTCCCCTGACTCCTTGGCATTGCTTCTGCTGACCTGCCCTCTGTCCCACCAGTCAGTTTGGCTGCCAGCACCCACGGCATACAATCCAAGTACAAAGATGCATAAATATGGCAATAAACATGTATCCGTCTTTGTCATCTGCATCTCATTAACTGGTTCATAAGGATTATGAGTGTGCCTTTCCTCTACCAGAACAAAATTTATTTGACATATGTGAATCCTGCATTTTCCTCCAGGGGTGTATGGCCTGTATGATTCCCTTCCTCTCCCTCTCCTTTTAAGCCTCACAATCACCCTGCTACATACACGAGAATCAGCTGATGGCTCAAAGCCACCCAGTGAGCTTTGTGGCTGAAAAGGAACTAGGTACCAGTTGTCCTGCATCCCAGGCGGGCACAATGTTGGCTCACAATATTTGTAGCTCATTATTTGCTTCATCAGTCACATTTAAGTGGTGTTTCCCACCTTTCAAGCATTTTTTTCTGTTGGTGTGAAGCTAGCAAAAAACCCCTTTTAAATCTTTTCCTAAATAATAGCAATGCCAGTGTGATGGAGCATATGTCTGAAAATCCCTACATGTCTCATTCAAGAACTTGAAAAAACTATGTTAAGAAGTTAAATATATATTTATTCTATAAATATTTATTAAAGAACTATCATTTCTTTATTCCCATCACCACCACAGAAGAAGCCTGAAGATGTGCTTTTGCCCACATTCAGCTGGATTCTGTCCTTTCTCCTTTCTGTGTTCTGGCCACCTTCCTGTCTTCTTTATTGTCTCCAGCCTCCTAATCAAGTGATGGCTATGGTAGAGCTGGTGTTTAGGAATGATGGGACCTGTTTGCATGACACAACAACCCACCCTGCAAATAAGTGTCATAGATTGGTTGTTCATGCAACAACTGTGGTGTGTACATGACTGAGCTCGCTGTGGGTTGCTGCTCCTTCCCTTTTGGTCCTCCTGTCAGTGTCAGAGGTCTTGAACCTTTCTTGTCCACTCTCTTGTGCCAATCATCACCACTTTTTGGTCACCGCGAAGATTAAAAAAAAAAACTTCCTTGTTCCTCAAGTGCTTAAAACTGGTGGTAAATCAGGGATAGCCACTCAAATGTGTTATTTGGGCATAGTGGTTAAAGTGTTGGACTAGGATTGAGGAGATCCATGTTCTGGTCCCTACTTGGCCATGAAGCTCATTGGAAGTGCTTTGCAGTGTCTGTCACTGACTCTCAGCCTAGACTACCTTACAGGGTTGTAAGGATGAAATGGATTGTGTAAGCTACTTTGGATGCCTTGCAAGAAGAAAATGCAGGATATAGATGTAAAAAGGAATTAAATAAAATGAGGCACATCATCCTAATAGGTGTAAGAGATACAGTATTGCTAACCTTAAGTTCAACAGAGAGTGAGAGACGTTTGTTTCATAATAGGCAAAAAGAGCAGATGAAGAAGAAAAAAGGAGGACAGAACGTTGAAGAGAAACTCCTGTTCCATGGTACTAATTATTCTTTCTTGGAAGCTATCTGCAATGACAACTTTGACTGGAGAATTTGTGGGACCAATGGAACTGTCTTTGGGAAAGGTAAAATGTTAAAGCAAAGCACTCGCAAGCTCTTTGTATCAAAACCATTTTGGTACATTCCCTTTGAAGAAAGTCATGTCTTGCATAAATTTACCTTATCCTGGTGAATATTTTATTTTATATGAGTGATGCAAATGAAGATGCTATCCAATTAAGGAAGGAATTGGTTTAAATAGATGAGAAATTTCATGAAGGAATGCTTCCACTTTTGACAGTTTGGCAGTCTAGAGGATTAAAATTTGAAAAGCTATTGCTGACATGGCATGAAGAAAAACTTTTTGTACTCCACTATTCTTCGTGGTCTCTGTGCATCACACATATGGGCTCTTTGGGCATGCATGGAGCAGTTTTCAGGAAGATTCTAAAGCTGACTAATTAGTATTTGGTAGGAGCCCAGCCCCCAACGCAGCTAGCGTGAGTGTGGGGCTCCCACCAAGACCTTAGTTCTTCTTTGACTGCCATTGTGAGTGCATCGGGAAGTTCTTTTCCAACTTACCTCATGGGCTATACATAAAAGCTGCTGCTGGTCAGGTTTCCTTTTCGCTATACCTTCTCCCTATTGCTCTAAGCACAAAATGGAGGAGGAGGAGGATAGGTATTCGTAGCCCTTGGCATTTGCCACTGGGGGCTTTTGTTGTGCCTTGCCGGCAGGCAATGACACTTCAGGCTGCTTTCTGCAACTGTACCTCATACGGCAGTAAGCTCCCACCAACCGACAGCCACTTCCTTAGTTCGTTTTGCCTGGGAGAGTATCATGTTGTTGAGTCTTGTAACCACTGCCAAGCTTTTACAAAGCAGGCAAGGAAGTACCAGCCTGACCATTTAATGGCAGAACTTTGGAGCTGCTCTTTGCATGCCAAAGACCCTCAGCCATCTACTTCTGCGGCTTCGGCTCAAAACCCAGATGACTTGTTGCCTCCCCCACCTGGGAAAATGCCCAAAGTGTCAAAACAAAAGAAGTTGGAAAAGAAAGCAAAGCCTTGAAAGTCACTTACCCTTATTTAAGAGAAGGAAAGCACAAAAAGCGCCCATTTGCACTCTGAGTTGTTGGTACCTAGCAGCCTCCCGTGTGCTGTAGTCACAGTGCCACCCCAAAGCCAGGGGAACCAGGGACAATCCCTACAACCCTTCCAACCTCCAAGGGGCACTTTGGTGTCCGAAAGAGAGATTCAGGAGTCATCGGCTCAGCCTCCTCAGTCAGCCCAGCTTCTGGTAAAGAACCAAGCCAAGCCAAGCCTTCACCCTCGGTACTGAGTGTGTTTCTCCAGCCTGAGAGACAAAGAGCCAAACGATGCTCTTGATCTCCGACTCTGACTCTGCATAAAAGACATTGATCTCCCCCAAGGGGCCAAGGGGATTTCGATTTTTCAATTCAATTCGATTCCGAGTTCTATGTAGAACGCTGGGGATCCATCAGCTCAAGACAAGGGTCCCACTGGAGCCCATCAGGTTCGGAACATAACCCCTTGCCTGGTCCCAGCTTTCGCGGTGCATTCCAACAGCTGACTCAAGACCCTGCCAATTTTCTACTGTTCACAGATAGGCAACCTCCATCTTCCTTGCTCAGCCATCGTACCAATAGAACCAAAGGCCTGTCCGAACAAGGGCAGTATACCTTGGTCTCAATGGCATCTTCTCCAGACTGGCATTCTGATGCTCCTCCAGGTTTCATGATGACCTTCTCAGACCTGTCCCGGCCACCTGAGGATACTGGATTCTTTGCATCCCAGGTTCTTTGAATGGCCCATGGTCTAGGTCTTAATCCTAGACAAAAACCCTCGAGAACTAAAGACCCAGTCTTTGAGGCTGTCTATGCAGAGTCTGCTGGACCTGTTACCATACCACTCCTCCCAACTCTGCTGGATGCGATCCATCATGAATGGAGGTCCTCGGCATCTGTGGCTCCGCCACTGTGCTGCCTCCAGAATTTATATTGCATTCAAGAAATGCTGAATTCCTGTTTCATCACCCTAGGCCAAACTCTGTCATTGTAGAGTGCACCCAGTCTCACTCCAGGAGAGAGCATGCCACCCCATCTGACAAGGAAGGTAGGCGTCCTGACACCATTGGTCACCACTTTTTACTCCTCATCAGCCCTGTCTTTATAAATGGCCAATTATCAAGCTACCATGGCCAGATTCTCATGCTTTGGGATAGAATGGTGTCCCTATACTCTTCACTATCTAAGGACGCCCAAGACCTGGCAAACAAAATCAAGAATGAGGCTATGCACTTAGCCAGACAAGAGATCCTCACAGTGCGACACCAAGCTGAGGGTGTCGCTTGCAATATGGCGGGAGCAATAGGTCTCCATCACTTCGCATGGCTCCGATCCTCTGGGCTGTCAGGGGAGGCCAAAGCACATATAGAAGACATGCCATTTAACAGCACTGGCTTGTTCCACAAAACCACTGAAAACTGAATGGACTCAGTTCAAAAGGCCAGGAACACTGCTCGCTGCATGGGGATCAATCAGTCAATACCCCAAAGGCAATATACCTCACATAAGTGGCATCTATTTTCCTACCAGCCTAAGACCCCTGCCATCACTACTACTAGACAGCATACGGCCCTTAGCCTGGATGCCAAGATCCCCTTTCACAGGTTCGATCTTCCTGGAGGTGCCCAGACAATTCCAGGAGGCATCTGTGACTCCTTCATATGTCTCGCATTGGCTCTCCTATGTTCAACCATCAACTCCAGCCCTTTCTCCACACCTGGGCTACCATAACCTCAGCCTCATGAGTGCTTTCAGGCATTGCCCATGGATACCATATCGAGTTTACTACACTTCCTTGCTCTGTGGTACCAGAATGAACAGCTCCATCACCACCTCTATTACAGGACATTGCCTCCCTGTTTTATAAAGGAGCTATTGAACTTGTACCATCAAAAAATCCTGGATTCTATTCCAGGTATTTCACAGTACCGAAGAAAGACAGGGGTCTTTGTCCTCACATGGATCTCCGTTCTCTGAATAAGTATATTCGACCCAAACGTTTCAGGATGGTATCTCTCTAGACCATCCTCCCCTTGCTCTGAAGGTGCATGGTTCATGTCCATTGACTTGAAGGATGCTTATTTTCATATTACGATTGAAGAATCCTATAGATACTTCCTCCAATTCCAGATAAACAATGAACATTTCCAATTTACTGTTCTCCCCTTTGGGCTAGCAGCTGCACCCAGATTATTTACCAAATGCATGTCAGTGATCTGCGCCTCCAAGGTGTTCATGTATACCCCTACCTCGATGACTGGCTTATTGTAGCTCACTCCCTTCTCCTCTCAGGATCCTCAAGTGAGTATTGTAACAGATGCCTCCCTCCTTGGTTGGGGTGCTCATTGTGGACAAGCCACCATCCAGTCCAGGTGGAGTCCCACAGAAAGCTGTCACCATATCAATTTCCTTGTGCTCCTGGCAATCAAGAAAGCTTTGGTTGCCTTCCAAAACCACGTTTGAGATCGTCACATCAGAGTCTGATGGACAATACTACAGTGGTGGCATACATAAGCAGACAAGAGGTAACCAGATCAAACAGCCTAGCACACCTTGCCATAACTATATGGCTCTGGTGTATAGCCAAGTGAGCTGCTCTACATGTAGCAGGCAAAACCAGTGTTGTAGCAGACCTCTTGAGCAGGAGTTTCGCCACATGCCATGAGTGGGAACTGAATCCTGCGGTCCTCCAAACTTTATGGATCCATTGGGGCATACCCCAGATAGACTTGTTCACTACCAAACACAACAGAGTCTGCCCCCAGTATTGCTCGGGATCTGGTCTCAGCAGGCACTCTCTGGAAGATGCCTTTCTCCTATCCTGGAGTGGGAATCTGTTTTACCTATTTCCCCCCTTCCCGCTGATTCTGAAGGTCTTGACAAAGATCTTGCAAAATCGTAGGAATGTGCTTCTCATTGCTCCTTTGTGGCCCAGTCAACACTGGTTTCCTCTCCTACTTGACCTGTCCAAACAGACATTCTGTCATCTACTTGGAACAATTTGCTCACCCAGTTGGGACAATTTGCTCACCCAAGGTCATGACAGAACTCTCCATCCCAACCTATCAACACTTTATCTCACAGCATGGAGGATTCGTCAGACTTAGTTCCTTCTGATCTCCAGTTTGTGCTAGATGCATCGCTTAAACTGTCCACTTGCAAGTCTTACAATGCAAAATGGGTAACCTTTCAGGCCTTTGCAAACCAGCATAACTTTGCTCCAGCCACAGCCTCTCTAGTTGAAATCCTCTCATTTTTGAACTCCTTATACAAAAGAGGCCTCTCCTATTCGTTGATTAAGGTCTACGTGGCTACCATATTGGCTTTCCACAATCCAGTTCAGGGGTGAACAGCTTTCTCTCATCCCCTCATATACAAATTTCTCAAAAGGATCTGGAATTTAACTCCTCCCCTCAGACAACCACCTCCATCATGGAGCCTGTCTGTTGTCCTCCACGCACTTACCAAGTCTCCCTTCAAGCCTATGCACTCATGTGATCTCCATCTCCTGTCGTGGAAAACAGCCTTCCTCGTAGCCGTCACCTCTGCCCATCAAGCAACAGAACTGGCAGCCCTCCGGATTGATACCCCATACATGGTCTTTCATAAAGACAAAGTCGTCCTCCGGCCTAATCCTACCTTCCTGCCTAAGGTAGTGTCATATTATCATGTGAATGAGCCAATAATCCTGCCCTCGTTCTTCCAGAGTACATCTTCCACCTTAGAGACTGCATTGCATTCCCTTGATGTCAGAAGGGCTCTTGCCTTTTATACATCAAGAACCCAATCCCTAAGACAGACTCAAAGGCTGTTCATCCTTTATGGTGAGCCACACAGAGGACACCCGATATAGCCTTAAGGTGGATCATCCATGCCATTCGTCTGGCCTATGATCTCTCTGACCTTCAATGTTCTGGACCTGTCAAGGCTCACTCACTCGAGTAGAGCCACATCCACCTCTATTGCACTCTATGCTGGAGTGCCCTTGATTGACCCCTGTAAGGTGGCCACATGGTCTAATCCGTTGACCTTTTTAAACACTGCCACCTTGATGTCAGGTCAAGAGAGGACTGTCCCTTTGGCAGATCCGTCCTCTCTGCTCTGCTGCACTGAGCCACACCACCCTCCTCCTCGAGGTAAGCTTGCCAGTCGCCCATATGTGTGATACACAGAGACCACGAAGAATAAAGACAGGTTTCCTTACCTGTAACTGTTGTTCTTCAAGTGGTCATCTGTGTATTCACGCATATCCACCCACCATCCCCTCTGGTGTTTCTCTTGGACACATGCGTTATTCTGCGTTATTCATGCGGTGATGATGGGGGTCTCAGCTTTGAACTGAGGTCTTGGCTGGAGCCCCGCCCTCATGCTAGCTGCATAGGGGGCTGGGCTCTCTCCAAATACTAATTAGTCAGCTTTTGAATCTTCCCGAAAAACTGCTCCATGCATGCGCAAAGAAGCCATATGTGTGAATACACAAATGACTACTCGAAGAATGACAGTTACAGGTAAGGAAACCTGTCTTTCTTCAACGAGGTGTGATGTGAATACTAACTTCACTCATTCTACTTCTTTTCATATTCATGAAACTTGATCCCTATTGTAGAATCTCAGTCTGCAAATTGCCAAAAAAAGTGAATTAGAAAATGCTGACTGTTTGATGAACATAAATAGCTACAAGATTGTTGTGAGGTTTTTTACCTTGGGAAATTAACTGAAATTATGTTATTGAAAGAACATTAGAAAGATGGGAATAATCAGATTCCAAAGTGAAAATGTGGGCAGTTATTAGTTGAATAAATCAGTTAATAGTTTATCACATTATCCAAGCAAGATTTGGAAAATGAACAGTAAACAAATGGCTGTGTTCTTCTCAGCTTTTATGCTGTGAAGTCATAGAAGTCATATTCCATGTTTAAGCTCTGATTGATACAGTCAGATTTTGGATAAACTCCTGCTTTTCTGCCTTTTCATGTCCCTTTGCATTATAAGGAGCATCCGTTGTAAATATTCCTGCAGGTGTTTATTTAGAATACACAATACAGATTTTAAATATATGGACAAAAAGGTCTGAAAGAAAGTCCTGAAATTTTTGTACTCCAGAGCACCATTGCACATCAAAAACTTTAGGGTGCTGTACATGTGCTATCTCATTGGAGCTGCACAGCAACACTGGCTATTTCTAGTACCCCCCCCCCCCTAATCTATCTGGGGGTTACTAGCACTGCCTTTAAGAAAGTACTTCTTCAAATTTGGGGGGGAATTTTCTAGTTGCCTGTTTTTATTCAGAAGATGCTTGTTGGGGCTCTACTGTCTGGAGCGCATTCTGTACTTCACTCTGTATCAGGGATGGGGAACATTTGGCCTTCCAGATGCTATTAGATTCCAGCTCCCATTATCCATAACTAGTATGGCCTCTGTTGTTAGCCTACAGCTCATTCCATCAAGAGAGTTAAAGTTTCCTACCTTTTGTCTATGAGAGCCAGCACATTAATTAACTCCCTATCCACCCCCCCCCCCAATCTTTCTAGGGAGCTACTTTGCCAGAGATGCACAGTATTCGCACAACTACTGTCAACATAAAGCGAATTCAAAGGAGTTTGTTCTGTTCGTGGCTCAAGTTCTGGTTGGTGATTCTGCTAAAGGGCATTCAACTTACAGTCGTCCCCCAGCAAAGTCAACTGATCCGACCAGGTGTTATGACAGCTGTGTGGATAATCTGATGGATGCATCCATCTACATCATTTTTGAGAAGCATCAGATTTATCCTGCATATTTGATATATTATGAAGAGGACAAGAAATGTGTTCTGGCGTAGACAATGCTTAACACCTTGTTGTTGCAGTGTGTTGCTGTTATGTACCATCAGATTGTCTGCCACTTACGGCAGCCCTCTGGAAAGATGCCTGTACGTCATACGTGGCCTTCTATTCTTCTCCCTTTGATTTTCTGTAGCACAAATGCCTTCTCAAGATGTGCCCATAGCATGTCTGTTTTGCCAGTTTTGTTTCTGGGATTGCTAATTTACATGCTCAAGTCTTTTTAAATAATCAGATTTGGGGGAAGCAATATAAACCTTCAGATGAATAAGAAATGTTGAATCACTGTTGTTGAAGATCGGACTCATACTTTATCAGTTACTTCTGTAGGAAAAATGACAATACCTTTGTTGTAGGCAAAGCTGTGAAACTTGCAGCATTTCCTTTATTATATATCTTAGTGATTTTGTAAGGGGCAAAATAAGAGTCCCTTGAATGTATTGCGATTTTTTTAAGGATGGGTATTAATCCATACAGTGAGGTAGGGCATACTGATACATATGTACATTTTTCTGCCCTGCTAGACGGATATTGTCATTGTACCAGGAATGTTTGAATAGTTGTATCTTTTGATATTCCTGTTCACTCTGGGACAGTTAACGTTCATGCATAACACTTGGCCAATTGCAATGATCTCTATTATTGGCCACACATATCCTGCGAAAATTAATCAAGTGTCAGATATGACATAAGCTTTCAGTTTGTTTCAGCTAAACAATATAATTTGTATGTCTTACTGTTGTTAGTAGTAAGGCAGTTAGTATTTAATTATCAGAGGTAAAGGTTTTGGGCATAAAACTTGCCCCGAGACACTCAAGTTAATTTCAGTAAGTGATGATCATTGAATACATGACAACTATACTTGGCTTTCAATGTTCTTAAAAAAATTACTCTCTCCTGGTTATATCTCTGAGAAATGCAAATATTCTGTTCATTTTTTGGCTTTTCTCATGCTGTGGGTAGTGGATTACAAGATGGTGGGTGAGTCTCCTGTTTGTTTTAGAGATATAATTAAACAAACTGAAAAATTTAAGCATGTTGTCTTAATTTTGTCCAAATTTCAGCTTAAAATCCATCCTTTTTTTAGTGGGAGGGGGTGGAATAGAAAGTTGAAAGAGTCTGAGGCAGTACTCTCCAGGAACCATAGGATTTTATCCTAAGAGTGTTTCCAGGGCAAAGGCACTGAAAGCTTCGGTTGGTTAACCATTCCTATCACTTTTTCCTTCCATGTCTGCTAACCATTTGTAGTTTTAGTAGTCTGTTCATTGGGAATCGTTGATGGCTTTAATAGTGCCATGTTATCCAAATGGCACAGGAAAGCATCACAGTGCAGTGATTCCCACCCCACAAATGAGAAGTGAGAAGGCTCCATAAGGTGCTGGCTGGTACAGAAAGTATCTTGGAAGATACCCTTTTTAACTTGTCCCTGTGATTGAGAGGTACTACCGAATAATAGATCTAGTCATTCATTTTTGCTCAGGTACATAAGGAAATAGTCCACTGGACTGTCTCAGTGACTGAGAAATGTTCCGATACCTTTAATAAATGATGTAACAGAAGTTGATCCACAAGATACCATGCTTTCTCTAGGTTTACATAATGTGTGTTTTGTAGTTATATGCAGCCCCCTTTGTATGGAATTGAGACTCATTTTATCTGTTCATTTTGCCAGCCTTTCAGGAAAAGCGCATAGCAGTTTTTCTTTTCCAGTACACACAAGGAAAAATGCTGTGCCTTGGCAAGAGAAAACATTCCACACACTGATTGTAACACCATTCATGTAGCAATTTTTTAAAATGCAGAAGGCAGCTCTTGTCCAAATCCTACTGGATTGCTAACCAACAATTCTTTCAGCATATTAGGATTTTAAAGTCTTATTAATTGCATTTGTTTCACAGAAACACCTTAAACTCACATAAGTTACTCAGGATGTGTTGCATCCAGCTCCTTTAATGTACAGCAAGTGGGTAACTGCTCCAGATGTAGTCCTTAGAATCTCCCTTCTCTGCCATGCATAAGGGCGGGTGGAAGGTAGATCAGGATCTACAGTTGCAGTGGACTGGCAAGGATTCTGACTCTCAATTAGTTTAACAACAGAAAAGCTCCACCCACACCTCTCTAAAATTAGAAACCCTGAGGTTGGAGGGTTTCTTAAGCCATTCTTGGAGAAAGCTCATTGGCCATTGATTTCATTGGGTCTCTGCATTGTCTGGAACAAATCTCAGATCAGTGGTAACTCAAATATATTTGCACTTTTATGTTAAAGTCATCCAGATAATTCATGCGGTGTAGTAAATAATTAAGCCTTCCCTCCAGCCCCCTCCCATTCTGTATCAGGCACAGATAGATGTCAAAGTTCTGGAAAAAATAGACCCCATAAGTTACTTTCTGAATGGGGAGAGACAAACATTTTTAATATTGAAAGATGGGCCATAGAGAGATAAATTCAATTCAGGTCAGCTGGGATTCTAGTAAAATGGAACAGGTCAGCTGGGAAAGGGCAGTTAAGGTATGACTTAATCAGAGAAAGTCTTGGGAGAGAAAGAGGAGGTCTGTTGTTAGGTAGGTTCCTTTAGAGAGTATTTGTTTTACTGCTCAACTTGGCGTCTATCTCATCCCATCTTTTATAGCAACTTTTAGGTTTTACAGGATTCTGTTGGAATTGTGGTATCAGGAAAGATGGTAGCAGTGCTGCAAAGAAATTCCTCATAAGGTTTACCAATCCAGGCGACGTTCAGAATTCAAAGAAAAGAAGCACACATCTGTACATTATAGAGATCATCTACCACACATATTCACATACATGTAAGCACAGCTTTTACTAGAATTTGTATGTGTATACAACTATTAACTTAGTTTCAGAGAGAGACTGTCACAATTTAATATAGATCTTTACTTCCCAAACCATCAATTGCAGCCTATTCATTTCAAGGACATACAAAGTGCAAGTCTGCAACACTGCTTGATTCACATTCATTTAAAATGGATTTGCACATTAGTTCTCAGTGGATTGCAGCTATGGATTCTTCATATTGTGTAAACTAAGGTTTACACAACTTACCCCTGCCCAGCTCTATTCACCCATTATCAATTACCATGGCCATTTCTGGAATGGCAAAAATGTGAACAAGAAAATTCCAGTAGGTCAGGATTAAGCAACCTTTTGAGGCTCATGGGCGCATTTGAAATTTGTCCTGGGCACAACCAATAAAATGGTTACCATGGATAGTTACAAAAGACAAGCCAACTGCTCTCAGTGGCATGCAAAGGAAACAAAGACTGCAGCGACTAGAGGTCTCCACTTTCGAGGCAATCCCAGCTACCAGTGAATGGAGACCCTGGAAGCAGTGGGCACCAAGCATGGGCACCATGGGGGTTCCCTCTGCTCCCCCATTGGATAAGTATGGAAATAAAGTAGGGAGGGGGGAACACACTACAGATTCCTGAAAGTCCAGAAGCAAAACTGAATCCCTCTCATTAATTTCCTGAAAGCCTGATATCTTGTATTTACGCAAAGTTCAGTACCCATTATGCAATTGGCTTATTGACAAAAGAAAACATTGCTGATTTATAATGAATATTGCAAGCCTGTCAACCAATAAAAGTGTAAGGTTTATCCCAAAGCATGAAGAGTTGTGGTTTTTCGCATCAGACGTTCAGTCAATGGGGAATTTGGTCTCAGTTCATCACGTTCAATAAGGAGACACCTAAAGAAGAAAAACATGAGAATTCTCATAAAGCAGCCTCTTTCTGAGTGCAATAAAATGTCCTACGAAATGCTAGTCATCATGAGGCTGCTGCTTTATTCCATCATATCACATAATTATTCATAAACACCATCCTGAGGAGTCAAGCATGCTGTCTGAAAACCCTCAGAGCAAAGTGTGCCTTGAATCAAGGCGCTATGTTGGATGTATCCAGCATCTGATGCCCCAGAGAGTGGAGGTCCTGTGCAGGCCACCCCCACTCCCATCAGTCTACAGGTAATTACACTATCCCAAGGAAGAAAGGCTAGCCTGGCATTCCAGTGTAATTCCATGCTGCACTGTGAAATTCCATGCTGATAGTTGCAGGGAAATTCCTAAAGTGTTGTCATCACCTTAAAAGTGTATTCCCCTTCTTGAATTCTGTCTTGACTGTGGCAGGTATGTTAGGAAGCAATATTAACTGGGCTAGTCTACAGTTGTGTGCATGCCAGTCCACTGTTCTGGGAGTTAACTGGGAAATTATGGTTAGCAGTGAAGTGTGCCTCCAGTTTTAATATGAAAAGACTGCATGCTGCACGTGCTAGGAGGTGGCTTCTTCATCAAAATTAATTCCTTAAGATCCAGTACTGAGCAGCATGCCCTTAGAAGGTACATGGGAGCTACTTTACAGTGATTTCTTCCCACAATGGTCCTGTGGCACGTAAAGACTGACCCTGTCATATGGGCAGAATAAAGTACATGCCTCAACACTGCATCTTTCCACAGCAGATATACACATTATAACCATTCATCGTTCCCCCTTCTGCTGCTTTTCTGAAATGTCTGAAATGGCTCACAGTGACTGCTACATTCCATCCTAAGCACTTGTTTCAGGCCTATCAGGTGGCAGGGTTAACTCCAAAACTTTATTGGAGGAAGGCTTGATGCCGAGTAGCATGCCCTGGACCGTCAATAACATATATTGGGCTGACAAACCAAACTTCCCCCATAAACATGGGGACCTTCGCAAGAGTGAAGCAGTGGCACAGGCAGTCTCTTGGGCTGCCTTCCCACCAATGCCCCAGACTCATGCAGGCAGAGAGGAGAAAGCAGGTGGTGGCAGCTGGGATGTGGGAAGAGGACAACGGGGGCAGTGGTGGCAGCTGCACCAACCCATGCTCACCTCCCATAGCAGCAGCTGGCTCAGGCTCCTCCACCCGCCGCAGCAAGGCAGGGAGTCGTGCTCCTCTTCCTCTCAAGCTATGTGTGGGGACTTGAGCCCCCCCCCCCCCCCAGTAGCTTATGCACCTCTTCTGCCTTTCCCGGTACACAGTGACAGCTTCTGTTCCCCAACCCCTGCCCCAGGAGATGGTTCCTTTTGCTCAGTTTTTTTTTTTTCACGTGGGTGACTGGGTAGAGAAAGAGTACGGTGGGTATGAAAAGTAAAAGTTCCTAGCCCCTACTTGAGGACCATTCCATTAAGTATGGTTGAATCAGAGGCCTCCTGTTTTAACCTGCAAGTGCTATATCCACCTATTGCCAAATGCTGCTCCAGCATCCTAAATCTGCAAGCAGATTGAGGAGGACAAGGTTGTATCCCTCCAGTTTAGTTTAGCCTCTTCTAACAAGCAACTTGGTGAAGCAGAAGCTTCATGTTCCTCATAAGGGGTGGGGGTTATCTAGGAAACTTAGGCACTAGATAAGTTGAAAGCAAACCTTCAAGGGTACGACTTTTGGGCCTTAGTTTCAAGCAGACAGTAAAACCTCTCTCTACTGGGGAGAAAGCTCCTTCGTTCCTCTTTGACTACTGGCAAGCATATATTTCTAAGAAGAAAAAACTTACCTTGCAAGCTTCTGGTTAGCTTTGGATTTACAATTTAAAGCAGCATGAATCAGCAACTGGGCAAAAACATCTCTCTGGAGGAAAAAGTTAAATACACAGCTTAAATTCCAGGATTGTAATAACAGGGCAAGGGAGCCTCAGGACACTAACTATTTAAACATAAGCACTGGTGATATTCACCACTGTATTGTATTACAACGATAAACCACATCTATTGTTCTTTGCTTGGTCAGTTCTTTAAATATTACGGTACAGTAAAGTAATACTGCAGTCCAAATTCCACAGGGATTCTGTCCAGAAAAACAGTTTTAAAAAGGTCACAGAAGGCACATTTCACCATCTCTGAAAGCAGAAAATACCAGTTTGCTTTGCTTTTCTTGGCTACTAATCTAGCATCTGTTTTGGTGACCACAGGAACAGAGCACTAGCTAGGGATCTGCTGGTTAGGACTAAAACGCATAACTGCCACCTATTATTAAGGTTTATACCCTACCTTTCTTTCTCTTGCAGGGAACCAAAGGTAGCTTACAGGATTCACCTCCACTCCATTTTCTGCTCATAACAACAACTCTAAGAGGCAGTTTAGGCTGGGACTTTGTGACTGGCCCAAAATAACTCAGTGAACTTTCGGGCTCATTGGAAACTCAAACCTAGATCTCCTGATGCTTAGTCCAACACCCTAACCAGGACACCACACTATTGCATTTGATATAATGCATTGGCAATGAGTGATTTGTGAAGTAGAAACTCTACAGTTCAGATCATGCCTCGTCCAATTCATTTAATCGCCTCAGGTAGCATGAAATGTTTCAAATACTCAAACTGCTAAGTAGTAACAATTGGCGTGGTCCTCAGTGTGATCCAGTATCATGAAAAACATAACTTGAAAATGCGTCCCACACATTCCCTTTTTCTTCAAAAGCAAAACATAATAATAAATATTACTAGGCGGTCTCAAGAACCCAGAATACAGACATGAGGCCTGAGTCAGAGGAGAAGGTGGGGAATAACAGATGGGTTTCCTAGCAGCTGACTGCAGAGGAGAGGAGTGTGGGCGCCCTGGCTCCAAGCTCTTTCCAGCAGCTAGGAAAAGGACTTTTCCCCTGCAAATGGAATTCATTTCAGCACCCCTGTCTGCATGAGATGGGCTGCTTTCCAGCCTCTGTTTTTCAGGTATGTATGAAATTTCTCCAAGACTCAAACATGGAACAGGATAGAGCTACCAAAATGTGCTTGAAAATCAAATTTCCTTTTCACCTGAGCATTGCTCCCTCCTATTTCAACAAGTCTGTAGCGAACAGGATACAGCAATTCCACTGCCTTGTCATAATTGCCCATCTCAAATTCAACAAATGATTGCAAAAGAGGCAGCCCCAGTTCTGGGACAAGGTTCAGCTCATGGTCTTCATCGGGCACCCTACAGCAGAGAAAGGGAAGTGAAAACATCTAGTTGTACAACTGGTAAGCCAAACTGTTTGGCAATGAACAAAGAGCAATCAATGCATCACTGCAGTTGTTGTAGCCCTGCAAAAGCCAAACAAAGAAAGGAAAGAGAATACCTGTTTAACAAAAGCAGTCACCAACTGCATTGGTTTCAACCTCCTTTTCAACTGCTGAACACTTACGCTGTTTGCCAGCGTAACACTCAGTGAACACTTTGTGCATGTTTGGTGCTGTCAACACGTTAAGGCTTGACGTGGGATGCTGAGGAACTTTGCCCATTCCCAGGATTACTGAGAACAAAGTCCATAGTGTCAAGCTCCAGTTGAGAACTCAGGTTGGTCATGCTCCACTGTGAGATGACTGTTACAGAGGATGGCAAATATTACATTAGATGAAGTGCTGCTGAATGCACCCTTGGTGGTACAGCTGAAATACTGTTTGGCTCCATGTCATATGGAGAAAAGTGGATACCAGCTTGGCTGGCTCACCTCAGAAAGTAATCCTCTGTCTTTCAGTACTTACTGACCCTGCTAATCTTGCTATGTTATAGGATTTTCTACAGTCTTCAGGGACCAATCCTCTTTGGAAACAGCCTTTGGCAGGGCAGTCCTGAAGCACGCAGAAGCAATCGCTTATGGGAGGGCAGGGTTTAGACTAGCTCCAGCCCTGCAGGCAACCTGGGACTACAGACTTTTGGACTACAACTCCCATAATCCACAGCCATTGCTGGAAGCTAAAGTTGAAAACATCTGAGGGCAGCAGGTTGCCTATCCCCAGTACTCTCGTGCAATATTAACATTTTCTGCTTACTGGGCCAGTTCTTGGAGGGTTGCTAAGAGTTCTTGAGTTGTTTTATGGTCCTGGGCTCCTAATGAAGACATCAGAAAGTGAACATCATTGAAGATCAGGATGTGATCCTTGGCATGCTTCTTTGTCAGCTGGTTTACTTGTTTCCACCTGTCACCCACATTCACACCTAAGAGCAAAGTTGCACATATGTCAAACAACCAATCTGGTTTTCAAAAAGAAAGGCAGAGGCTTCCTGGGCTACAATCTCTTATATGGAGTCTCCCACAGCAAACTCAGTTAACACAGTGGGGACCTTTTTTGGGGTGAACATACATAACACTTGGTTGCGAATCTATTAACTACATAGTGATTTTATATGAAATATAACATCTAAGTTAATATATGAACATTTAAACCATTATAAAGATGCCTGTCTTGACCATTCTTCCACTTCCTGCTTCCTTGAAGCTGATCTAGTGGTGTGAGTACCCAGACCATCAGAACAAAAGTGCATAAGCAATGGGGTGGGACAATGTATTAAATTAGCCAAGAAAGAAGTAGTTTGCTACGCTATATACCAGTTGTATTAGCAGGGTGGCTCATCTTCCCTCCCTCCCTCCCTCCCTCCGTCCATCTGTCCTTCTTCACTTTAATGCATTCAGGCCAGAACCCAGAACCCAGACAGCAGGACTGGCTTTAAAGAGGGAATCAAGAAATCTATGTGGCCTCCAGCCTCAGGCAACATACCTTTGACCATGAGTTGCTGGGAAACAGCAGTGGGAGGGTGCACTGTCCCTGTGCCCTAGTTAGGGGCTTTCCATAGGTATCCTGTTGTCCACTGGGAACAGAGCACTGGATTTCTTATGTTTCAGTCAAATAAAACTCTTGGCTACCTCAGTGTCATTCTTATCTAGTAATCCTCAGAGACAATGTTGTTTTTCCATCAGAAAGCAGAGCCAACCTGGGGAGAATTTTCTGCTGCTTCCTCAGGATACAGTAAGACTGGTCTGGCCTTTTGACCTAAAAGAGGAGGGCAATCTCTGTGCCCACCCCACTACCTCCTACCCAGTTGACTGAGAGGGATTCATATAAGCCTGAAGCTCATTTGCAGTCTCTCCACAACCTTTACGCGTGCATTGTTGTCATGGAGTCATCTGACCCACAGTTTTTGAGTCATACTTTTAGCACAGGCTGGGCAATTCTGAGATATCTGGGGCCCCTTTTCACTCCCCTAGGTCCCTGGGCAAGCAATTATCACAAATTCAGCACTGGTAGCAAATAATAATACCAACCAATCAGTGTTTTTTATTATATTTTCTTATTTTTTGTGGCCATCCATTCCCATGGCATGACAGTGGCAGGGGCAGTAGGGGCCACATGTGGCCCATGGGCTGCTTGTGCCCTATGCCTGCTTTAGCAAAACAATTCTCTTCCCAAGGCTTTTTACTCCATCAAGAGACTCCATCAAGAGTCTCTATAATTACTGTGGTGAAAAGAGGAGGGTTACTGCCTGAGATCAAAACATGGCTGGCATCTTTGCAATGACACCTCCATTCCACATAAAGAGAAAGCCTTTTTTTACCTTCTAGCTGAAGTCGATACAGCATGGAGGAATTGTCAACAACATCTAGCATGGTCCCACTCAGCTGGCACCTGGATGCAATCTGTAAACCGCAAAGCATTTGCAACTTAGACTGAGGAAAAGAGTCCAGAGGGAGAGAGAACATCAAGCCATTATACACAGTATCAGTGTTTACAATTTCTTCAGAAGAATCTAAACCCAAGAGCACCATTAAAATAAAGACAGTTTGGGCCCTTTCCTATAACCTACACATACTATTGCTCTTTCTCCTTCACTTGAATTCAAGAAGGCGAATTTTTTCTTTAAAAAAGATTAGAATGCTTGCTTGGTAGAGTGAGAGCATTTCTTTGGATTAAAAACTTGATCATAAGGAGCTTCTTTGCTGATTATTGCATGCAATTTTTTTTAAAGACTATGCTGTAAGACTGATACAGACTGTGAAAAGCTTAAGATCCAGAATGAAATACGAAAAAAGGAAAAGCAAGATTAAGAGCAGAAGCTGTTTTCTATGCCACAGTTTCAGAACAATAGGAAAATTGCTTCTAGAACAGTGGCTCCCAACCTTTGCTATGGTCCACATCCCTAGAAAATGTTTGATTTATGTCTGCACCCACTACAAAGGTAATATCCCATTTGAAAATGAAAAGTCAAATTTCTAATTTTTGAACCACAAATTTAAGCACACATACTACTGTGGGTGAACAAACTGAACTCAGAAAAATAAGCTTTTAACTCAGTGCACAAAATTCAGATATAAAATGAGCAATTAGAAAAAATTGCAAACAGTAAAATCAATCCCAATTGTGAGTATAAAATTCATTTACTTGTTCCTGCTTCTCATTCATGATTTTGTCAAAATGTGGAAATGTGGATCTCAATCTCAGCAAGAGATTGAGATCCACAAGTCTGCATGTGGATCCAGGAGATTCCTAGATTTTGTCTTGATTGACAAAAGAGAACTGAATCCAAATGCAAACAAAATACAGTGGTACCTTGGCTCACGAACTTAATCTGTTCCAGGACTCTGGTTGTGACCCAAAATGGTCGTGACCCAAGTTAAATTTCCCCATAAGGTTCAATGTAAAATAAGGTTAATCTATTCTGTAACTATTTTTTTAATCAGAAAAATGTGAAGCAAAGTGACAACGAACAACAAAGATCATAGCCATCTCCCCCTCAACCTTCAGCACGAGTGCAGCCATATCTCCGCACCCCCACAGCACGACCACGATGGAGCCCATCATCCCAACGTGTTGGGGGAGAGACAGGCGTGAACACGGGTGCACTCGGGGGGGGGGAGACAGGTGCGATCTTGCTGGGGGAGAGATGGCTGAGATCGCAGTTGCACTCCTGCAGGAAAGAGGGGCGCAATCACGGGCATGCTCGTGCAGGAAAGACAGACGCGATCTTGGCCATCTCCCCGCCGCCCCCAGCATGATCGTGGCCGTCTCCCCACTCAGAGAGGTGGGGAGACAGCTGCGATCATGGTCACCACCCAATGCGGAGTTTGCAACCTGAGTTAAAATTTTTATTAAATTTTAGTTCGTGACCCTATTTGGTCGTGAACCAAAGTGTTCATGAGCAGAGGTACCACTGTAATAATAAATAATGTTGTTACTGGGATAGTTTTTCGTGAACTGCAACATAGCCTTCCCTTTAGTCACACCCCCTGAAATGCCATCTCGTACCCCCTGTGGATGCAGGCACCCCAGGTTGGAAACCCCTCTTCTAGGACATTCAAGGCCATTGATCATGGGTGTGACAACAACATGCCTTTCTAAGCCATTTTTGCATAGGTGCTCTTTGACTGGCCAGCTCAATAGCATTGTGGGCCAGGTACACTAATGCAGCTGAGAAAATTTCTAGTATGATGTGAGAACTGCATCACACAATGAAAGTCTCCTGTGAGCCCAAAGCATGGGGCAGGATGCCTGCCGTGCCCCTGAATACTCCCAGCCAGCCTCTGAAGATTTTATAATTGTTAAATGCTAGATCCCTCTAGCATTCCCTCCACGGAGTTGCACAGCACAATCCTGACAACCCACCGAAGAAACTTGCCAGTTTTGTTTTCAAATGTTGCTACTCGGGGCTTGCTTGCTTCCAATCAAGAGGCATGTCCAGATCTGTAAATGTAAGGGATTTTTCTTCTCTTGCACACTTCTAAAGTAAACCTTTTAAATGTAACAATGAAGAGTGCTTCCACATTTAATTTGGGCAGGGAAATCAAGAGGAAATTTTTTCATCTATCAGAAACTCTGATAATACGTGTTTATGAGCTACCCCACCCAAGTCTTTCATCATCTCAGTCAGGGTGGCAAAGATGGGCTAAAAATAGGTTTAAGCCATTATATGCTGAATTAAACCCATCTTAAAATAGTCAAAGTTCTGTAACAAAATATCTGGATTATTAAGTCTGTCTATGTAATGTTGTGTTTGGCAAAGGTTTTAAAAGTAAACATGAGGCTGCAAACCTACAAGCACTTACAGGGAAGTAAGTCCAATTGAACTCAGTTGCACTTCTGAGTAAACTCTCCTGGGATTGTGCTGCATAAATCATACAAGCTGAGAGTAATTTAAGGCTAGCACAGCAAGGCACTGTAAGTCCAGGAAGCTGCAGCCTGGCACACCTTGAAGATACCAGCTCTGAAAGATTTCCAACCCCTGCCCTAGTCATTCATCCATGACTAGGCAAAACTAGAATATGAAAAATGGTAAACATCACAGAATCGATTTGGCCAAATAAATCATGCCAAGATGCTATATTTGCGTAGCTTATATAAGCTACAGAATCCAGGTTTTCTTGCATAATTTTTAAAAAAATTAGTAGGAAATGAACCAAATTGAGAATGCAGACTTTTTTTATTTTCCCAGCAAGAAAAGTGGTCACACTTACATGAGTGTCATAAATGGTCAAAGCAGTCTCATAGTCACCCTACAAAAGGGAAAAAAATCCTGTTAATTACAGATTAGGTAAGAATAAACATCAGGGACTGTGGCTTGACTCAGACAATTGCTTCTTCTGATTCCTCAGATTATGAATTCCCATACTCTGAGATTCAAATGGCACGTCACCACCCACAATACTCCTTAGGAAAAGCTTGCAGAATTCAGTTACAAGGACTGAACCTGCATGACACCAAGAATGCAGCACAGCACCCACACAAGCCAACATTTGCCTTGCTGCAAAGGAAAATCAGGTATGCATTACTTGTTTCATAAGCTAATGATTACTATTTCACTTAAACACAAGTCCTTTCCATGTAGGAAAGTGCTGAAACACTGTTTTTCTGCAATGCACTGGGAACAGAATTGAACTGCTGATCCTGTATGGCAGTTATCGGAGCACTGTATTCTACAATCCGCCCCTGCTATGTCCATCTCCATTGCAAGAGCAGGCAGTACATTATTGTTTGAAGACAGCAGCTTTTGCAGCACAACAGTGAGGGCAAAGTCCTATTCATGTTTACACAGAAAAGCATCCTGCCATTCCTGCCATTCCCCTGCTAGCCGTGCTGCCCTATGTATGTTTGTGAACCTCAAGTAGATTGCAACCAGAAATTAACTTTGAGATGCCAGCCATGGATTACTATCTGGATCTACCCAGTTACTTAACCATATTCTTCATCATGGTCCTGCACTGGTGATTTGATTTTTGCTTTTGTTTCAATTGCCTTCAGCTCAGCTTTGCTGGGAGTATAAAAGTGCTACGCCTCAGCTCAGAGGACTGCCCTTGTTCCCAAGCATGCAGAAAAGCAAGCACTCATGTATGCACAATGAAGAGAAGGGTCAGTGGCCTCTGCTGCATGATGAATTGTGAGAGTGAGAATGAAGGTATTAAATGCAGCTGAGACAACCAACTGAAAGGGAAGGGTATAGCAATACTGAAAGGATGGCAAGTCAATGAACCATGCTGAATAGATTTGCTCAGACACAAGACAGAGCTGAAGACACAGCCACATACCTTTTCAATAAGATACAAAGCCCAGTGCCAGTAATTATGGCAGGAAAGCATGTCACTATCCTAGAATGGATGAAAGAACAATTACTGTAAACTAGAATCTCTCCCTTTTACAATGGAAGTAGCTTAAGGGTTACCTAGAAGCAAATGTTTGGGGCTGCTAGAAAAAGGTCTGTATTAGGGAAAGTCCAGGGATGTCCTGTACTGAATCTGGCCCTCTCATATTTCTGATGTAACTCCCAACATGCCTCATGTTCCCAAGGGTCCCACATGAAACTTTCATCCTTACAACTGCCTTGCAGAATGGGAAAGTATTACTATGTCCATATTACTCATGGGAAGGCTGGCCTTAAGAGAATACCAATTTGCCTAATATATCCAGGAACTATGTGGCTGTGGTGAGATTTGAACCAAGGATTTTCTAGTTCACACCTTACCTTCTGTTATACTGCACAGGTTTTCAAAATGCCACAATGTTCTGTGTTACTTATTTCATAGTACAAACTTCCATGCCAAAAATCCAATGAGAATCTCAACACAAACAACAGCCCAGTTTCAATCAAGAAATTATCAAAATTGCAGCAAAAACCCTGAATATGGAAAAAGGAAGTAAAATCTTAAGTTGTCCCAGAAACCTCCAAACAGAAAGTGCTTGGCCATGCTTCCAAAAGCCATTAACTGAACAGTCTTGGCTTAGCAGCCTACATAAAAAATTCCACAGCAAGAACATAACCACTGCTGCCCACTTGAACTCAGACATGCAAGGCAATCCAAGTATAGCTTCTGCTGATGGAAAGATACTGATATATACCCTAGCATGTGAAAGAGAGTGCACTGAAACAGGCCTCCCAGTGTGTGATAATACGCACCAACCAAGCCAGAGCTAAGTAAGAGGACATTTACCTTCCAGTTGTTTTCAGTTTGCTTCATAAATGCCAGCCCCCTCTTCACATCTGCCTTCATTTCATGCACATGAGCCAAAGTGTGCACAGACCATGCATCTGTCGGATTAATAGCTAAAGCCTTGCAAAAAGGTCGAAGGAAGAAATGTGTACTTGTTAGCTGTTGTGCAGTTGTACAATTTATGTTGTTTAAAAAGCATTATCCAGCAATTGGCTTGGCTCCTCTGTTGAATGACACGGTGGGGAGGCTGTCCAATGGAAAAATGCTGGTTAGGACACCCCTGTGAGGAGCCAGGAGAAGGAATTCTGGAATGAGGAAAACTGTTCAGAATCTGTGGTGAGGTGAGCAGATGAGGATCAAGGGAAGAGCAGGAGGGAGCTGAGGAATGAGGTGGGGGTTCAGCTCCTCAACTCCTTCCTTGCCTGGTAGTGTAGATTAGGAAAGTCAGGAAAGAGGTAAGAAAAGGCCTTAAAAGGCCAGAATTGGCCAATTTGCCACCAATTTCCTCTTTCACTCACCACGTCCATACAAAAATCAAGTTGAAAATACCATTTTTCAGCACTGTCTGCCTTTATTTTTTTACCTCATAGGCAAGCTTCTCAGCACGATCAAAGAAATTGGTTTCCATCAGTCCAAAGGAGTACATGCCTTTTATGTAGCTAAACAAAAAAAGTGAAAACTTTCAGTGTCAAAGAGAGTCACTGGTAGGACTCCTGCCTAGACAAAAGTTTTGGAATACAAATCATGTGACATACATGATGACAGCTGAGGGACTGTGTTAAGCATGATATTATTTACAAAATAAAAGGTGTCTTCTTTGAAAGCTTTCTATTTTCAGCAAAATGGCAAACATATGTTTCAAAGGTATGGTGCCTTTAACATATGTTACAGTAAGACTTTTAGTGAAGTGAAGGTGAATCACCAAAAAACAAGCTACTGCCATTTTAAGCCTCAAAACTGTGCCTCCTTACAAGCTACAAATCACCACTTGTCAACACCTATGCAAATTTCTTTTGAGGTTTAGCTGCTTCATAAAGCAATAGAGGCCTGGACAACATGGGGCATCTGTGCTGGTCCAAGACACTCCATCTTCCCTATTTGCATTAGTGCCAAAAAGCTGTAAACACACATAGTCTATGGCATTTTACATCGTAACTGATCATGGAACACATCTGTTGAGGCATGAGCCTCAACAGTTCTGTTTTCTGCTTTTGTAGAACTTGAGCCACTAAGATATAACCTTAACTCTGATTCTGAACCAGTAGGTTTTAAAATTACTTTATAATATATATGTATAATGTTATGCACAAGTGTAACAATGCCATAATCCTAAAATGCTAATTTCTTGTAACAGCCCATTTCAGAAACCTTGCACCTGCAGCACACACAGCCTATCAATATCTCACAAGTGCATGAGTTGGACAGACAAAATAATTACATGAAACACATCATCACTGTACCGTGGTACCTTGGCTCACAAAAACCTCAGTTCACGACTAAATCAGATCGTGAACAGAAATTTCAGAAAAAAATAGCCTCAGGTGGCAAACTTTGCATCAGGTGACGATCGCGATCACGCTCATGAAGGGAAGATGGGAATGATGGGGGGGGAGATGGCCGCAATCTTTGTTTTTCTTTGTTACTTTGTTGTCACTTTGTTTCAAATTCTTGTGATAAAAAAAATGGTTACAGAACCAATTAACCTTATTTACATTGACTTGGGTCACAGCCAATTTGGGTCGTGACCAGAGTCGTACAATGGATTAAGTTTGTGAGCCAAGGTACCACTCTATTTTCTCTTGGTGTCAGCAGTGGCTGGCCCTAACGGCAAGCAGGCTGTATCTCCACATTCCCTCCAGAGTCTGATCAATGCTGATGTTTTGTGCTCTTCACACCAACATGGATTGCTCAGCTTCCAAGCAAGCAACCTCTATAATTTTGGAGGGTGCGTGTGTGTAAACAATTGGCAAACAATGTCTCTATATATTGCTCCAAATGCAATCTGCTCACATTATAATAAAGACTGATCTTCAGCTTGGACCTGTTTGCTGACATCGCTGCATCTTTTTGCATTCAAGAAAGATGATGTGTGGTGTAGTGGCAAGAGTGTTGGACTGAGGACCCATGAGTTGTGGATTTTACTCCCCACTCAGCTATGAAGCTCACTGGGGAGCTTTCAGCCAGCCATTCACTCTCAGCCCAATCTCCCTCATAGGGTTGTTGTTGTGAGGATAAAAATAGAGCTACATAAGCCACCTTGTATTCCTTGCAAGTGGAAAAAATGGATAAAAGGATTTAAAACCAATGCAGTAATAGTAACAACTAACATACAACAAAGCACTGAAATAAAAATGCTACTGTTCAGATCTCTGGATGTGTGGAGAAGCAACTCATGGGGAAGTTCTAGCATTTTTTTCCAGAATCAGGGTCCCAAAATTGGATCATAATCAGCTGTCCCTGCAAAGTTTATAATGGTAAAGTGCTGAGTTCTGGTAGGTTCTCTTCTGTGATGTATCACCCACTTCAGAATCCCACTCTGTCAAAAAATTGAAGAGTAGGACTGAAATTATCTAGACCTGTGGATATTACAATTTCCTTCTCTTTTATGATAAAAGGAAAATGGAGAATGCTAATGATACAATACCACAGTTTGGATGCTCAATAAAATGTGATTAAACAGAACATACTGGCTCCACACTAAACTCCTAGTGGACAAGCAAACTCCTTGTGTCAGCCTCAGACCCAATCTACAATTTTATCATCTTATTCACTAATACCAATCTTTAGATGTGAAAATGCTCATGTTTATGTAACTAAAGCTGCATCACGCACACAGAAGAGGAAAGTACCATCAGAACTCAAGGGAATCACAGGGTTTGTAGAGGTAACAAACTATTTAGGAAAAGTCCTAAGCAAAAAGGAAAACAGTCTACTGAAGACTGTACAAGTTCAGTGAAAAGGGGAGAAACGTAACATAATTAAGGGAAGGAGATTGTAGCAATCACTGGAAAAATGAACTCCACATCGACTGAGCTCCACATTTGAAGGTCTCACTTGTTCCCTCTATTTCTGAAGCGCTGCTCCTTCCATAGCCAAATACACAGAGGAAACCCAACATTTGCAGAAGTACAAAAAAGGGTGTATGCCTCCCTGTGCTCAGTGGACACAGCATATTGAGCACTGAAAGGGTGACAAGAGGAGGTTTGAAATGCAGCATTGTGGGGGAGAGCATGGCTGAGAGCAGCCATTTGCTGAATAACAGCAAACAGGAGCACTCCACACTGCAACATTTTGTTGCAGGACTCATTTGGACAGAAATAATTGTATGGGGGATGCACACAAGTATTCTGAAAGAAATTTAGCTTCTACTGTAAACATTTCTAAAGAAATTGGCCTGCACTCATTTACACCTGTTTACAATGGACAGCAGAATCAGTTAGAAACTAGAATGTGATTCACTGAATATTTCTATCAGATGTTCTTGGATTTCAGCACACAGTGGAATCAGAGATGGCAAGAAAAGCAAAATGAACTTACCTGCTAAGAGGAATATCTGGTGTCCAGTGAGGATACACTCGGGCAACAGAGTCCCTCATTTGTGTCTGCTGTCCCAAGTAAAAATAAGTATCATGTGCAAATTTTAGAGCTAGCAAGTCCATTGGGTGGTTCTGTAGAATCTGTTCCCACACCTCACATGCTCTAGGGAGCTGCCTACACAGGAGAAACCCACACAGATTAATGTCCATACAAGACTTGTAACACTGATCCACTTAGTTAACAAGCTCTCATTGGAAAAATTTCCTTCCAGTGGCCAGGCAAAGAAACTTTGCTAAGGATTATTCTATTATATTCATTTTGGGCAACTGATTATTAAAACACAGCTCATATGTGCGGTAGGACTAGTAAATACTGTTGTTGCTTTTACAGGTTAATAACTTGTTGTAGGCTTGCTTGCAAGGCTGCTTCCCATTCTTATCCATATGGCTTCTCAAAAGATATACACCATGCTGCTTAAAAATAAACCTATCATTAATTACATATCATTTACAATTACATTTTCAAATATATAATAAAACACAACTAGCTTACTCAAGCCTGCACTAGACCATAAAAACCAAATGTAGTAAACCAGCCACATAGGGCATCATGCCAGATGCTCAACATTTCTTCAATCTCAGAGGCAAGAAGCAGAATTGAGGTCTATTAAGCCAGTACTGGGTTGATGTATACGCTATATACCTGGAAGGCATTACCAGCTCTGCCGGCCTGCCTTCATTTTAAAAACCATATGGTAATAGAAAGAGAGAAAGAAAACTCTTGCTCCCTCCAGATACTAGGAAGCCTACAAATGGGAGTTAGAAGTGCTGTAGACAGATGATGACAACTACCCCAGTGACTACATAAAGGAGCCACTGTATGGAAGCAGTGCAAAGCAGAAGCAATGTAAACAATTCCTGTTTTTATTATTTCTAAAGTTAAAAATCATTATGCCTTATCTCAAAGGTAGATAATTGTTTGGCAAGGAAAGCAAGACATTTCTGAGTGAAAAATCAAAACCAAAAATCTTATAAAGAGAAGGGAGAGGCTGGGAAGCAAGGATGCTAATGTGAAACTTCTACAACAGGGATGATTATGCCTATAAGCTGCTTGTTCTGTAGATTTCTAGAGAGCTAGATTTTATGGAAAAGGCAAAGAGTTTTTCAATGGCATTCCCTACGAATCAAAGACTTACGCATTAGCAAACAGCTCTATCGCGGACACATGTAACTTCTCCCGCTCAGTCAATGGTTGAGACTGTGAAACTGCAACCATTTTTCTTATTGCATCATCTAGTTTCCTGTCCAGTCGCACAGAACTCCCAGTTCCAATCAGGACCAAACCATTGGCAATCACATGCCCCATTGCTGCAAATTAAGCCAAAAGACATCAATAACAAAAACTTTAGACAAAAATTATATAATAGGCAGTTCGTCAAATTTTGTTACACGGGACCAGAAAATCTATTCAGCACCAACAACCATAAACAAAATATGTTCCATCATATATTCAAAATGTGAGAACTACAAACTGAGCCCCTTTAAAAAATTAAGAAGGTAAGAGTATAACAATAGCCACTATGCTCAGCAGCAGCTAGAATAGCCAAATTAACAAAGATTAACACAGCACACCCAAGTTGGGAGTTGTACAACAAGCAAAAAGAGGACATATTTGCAAAGGTGCCACTGGAAAAGGTGCCAGGGAAGAATGTTTTCACTGAACACAGTGTGTTTCAGAACTATGACTTCTTTGTCAAGGACAATCTACAGAGAACAATTTTAACATCAAATCAGTAAATAAAAAGCATTTCAAAAGGTTTCAAAGAATAACATCACCATCCAAAGTGGCTGCCTGAAACTTTCTGCACTTGGGAGGATTACAGACATCCATTGGAGGACAGGAGGACCTCAGAGGCAAGGTACGTCTGAGTGCTTTCCTCACCCCTGAAAGCACTTATGGCCCTGCTAGTAAGTGGGAGGGACGGAGGCACTGCCCAGAATCCCTCATACCCAGGTGGAACCTTGCTCCTCCCTTCTTTGCCCCCAGCACCAGCTCTGAAATTACGTCTGTTACTTCAGAGCTATGGTAAGGAAATAATTGCTCCAGTTGCAAGGGTGGAGGGAGCATGCTCTGAATTCATGCCCTAGCACTGAACTTAGAGAGCTTTTTTTGCACCCTAAATCATTTAAATTCTAAAATCTTAAAAGAAAAAAGCATCATTTTAAATACTTGTAAAAGACAGAAATATTGCCAAAAATGACAACAAAAATGCCATGTTAAACTGGAGCTATGTAAGAGTTGTTGGCCAAAACATCTGGAAGGGCTCAGACTGGGAAAGAGGGTGGGAAAGTCATTTACAGCACAATCCTATGCATCCCATGAAGGTCTTTGGATTTTATTACCAGGTAAGTGTATAAAAAGGTTGAATACTTATAGTACAATCATACATAGATTTGTTCAAAAGCAAGTCCCACTAAATTAAGCAAGGCTTGATCTCAAGTGCCTTAGATCAAGTGTGTATAGGATCACAGCCTTAAATTGTTACTTACAAAAGCTAGGATCGGCCGCTTGTAATTTTGAGAGAGTTCCTTCTATTCCTCCTAGACTCTTATCATTTTTCCAAGTCACATACTGTAACAAGAAAATAGCTACAGTAATTAAGAAACCAAAGCAAGTTCCTCTGCATTTCAACTTTCCTCTGCAATTTCAACTTTTTCCCAACATGGTAATCCAAAGGAATGTTTTAAGTCATTTTCTTTGTGTCATTGCTACATTTGGGATTGTTAGATGGCTTTGAATCTGTTTCTTCAATCACTTTGACAAGTTAGTCCAATTCTCTGCTCTCTGAGTTGCCTTTATAAAGACATTTTAGATGGATTAGCATATTTATGGCTCTCAGACACAAAATTACTACTGCATTCTAACTGCAGAAAAGAAAAGTAAGGCAATTCTTCACTTTCAAACATAAGCCTGTGCAAAATGCCATGATCAATATGTTTAAGATCCCATACCCACTTATTTACCATGCTTTAGTTCCTATGATCAGGAAACGTCATCTTGTGAATGTCCTATGACAGGGCAACTTCCTGAAGTAGGCTCTGCCCCACTGAAGCTTATGGCACAATCAATCTGCTAAGTCGTTAAGGTGCCACAAACCTCTTGTTTTTACTGCAGCACACTAACAAGGATACACTTCCGCAAAGTATTTCTTATGCTCATCCCTGCTTCCCCAATACACAGTATTTTAATTGATAACTTGTTTTTATTGGTATTTTAACAATGGGGTATGCATTTTATGAAATTACTAGTTCTGTTAAGTGGGTGCATTTTGTATTAGTTTATTATTTTAATGTTTTATTGTAATTGTGATCTTTGTTTTTATATTACATGGTTTTATTGTAACCCACCCAGGGAGCCATATGGCTAATGGGGTGGGTTAGAAAGTGGATAGATAGATAGATAGATAGATAGATAGATAGATAGATAGATAGGAAACAACTGCAGCAAGCATCCGTAGAGGGTAAGAAATTAGAATAAATAATACATTATTATGCTTATTAACTTATCCAGTAAACTCCTAATTATTCCCACCTGAGTGAGTGTAGCATCATACATTTTACAGGCCTCGTTACTTGTGGTTGATAGAACAAGTCCAGCATCCTGCCACGCCTGCAGGAAACATAAAATACCAAATTGTCCAATGTAGAGATGTCAAATTTCTGGCAATTCTGAAGCCACAAAAGAAAAACACCCTTTTTAAAATGAAAATAAAGAAATGCGGTGAGTTTAAAAATAGATGTAGTACTGACTAACCTCCTTCATGGATCACTGCCTTGCCATGGCGAAAGGGCTTGCGTAGTGCAATGAAGCTATGAGCTATGCTGTGCAGGGCCACCCAAGACGGACAGGTCATAGCAGAGAGCTCTGCCAAAACGTGATCCACTGGAGAAGGAAATGGCAACCCACTTCAGAATCTTTGCCATGAAAACCCCATGGACAGTTCCAAAAGGCAAAAAGATATGATGCCAGAAGATGAGCCCCTCAGGTCAATATGCTACGGGGGAAGAGCAGAGGGCTAGTACTAGTATGCCAGAAAGAATTAAGTGAGCGGGTCAAAGCCGAAAGGACACTCAGTTGCAGATGTATCTGGTGGTGAAAGGAGAGTTCAATGCTGCAAAGATCTATACTCCATAGGAACCTGGAATGTAACATCCATGAATCAAGGCAAGCTGGATGTGGTCAAACAAGAGATGACAAGACTGAACATCAACATCTTAGGAATCAGTGAACTAAAATGGACAGGAATGGGGGAATTTAATTCAGATGACCATCAGGTATACTACTGTGGGCAAGAATCCCTCAGAAGAAATGGAGTAGCCTTCATAGTCAATAAAAGAGTAGGAAAACATACAAAACATGTTTGGGATACAATCTCCAAAATGACAGAATGATCTCAGTTTGAATCCAAGGCAAACCATTCAACATCACAGTAGTCCAAATCAATGCCCCAACAACTGATGCTGAAGAGGCTGAAGTTGACCGGTTCTATGAAGGCCTTCAACACCTTCTAGAATTAACATCAAAAAATGATGTCCTTATCATCATGGGGGATTGGAATGCTAAAGTAGGAAGCCAAAAGCTAACCGGAATAACAGGCAAGTTTGGCCTTGGAGTACAAAATGTAGCAGGTCACAGACCAGAGATCTCTTCAAGAAAATTGGAGATATGAAGGGAATGTTTCATGCAAAGATGGGCATGATAAAGGGCCCAAATGGCAGGGAACTGAGGCAGAAGAGATTAGAAGAGGTGGCAAGATTATACAGAGGAACTATACAAGAAAGACCTTAACGTCCCTGAAAATCACGAGCGGGTGGTCACTGACCTCAAGCCAGACATCCTGGAATGTGAAGTCAAATGGGCCTTAGGAAGTCTGAGCAACAACAAAGCTAGTGGAGGTGACAGTATTCCAGCTGAGCTACTCAAGGTCGTAAAAGATGATGCAGCAAAAGTGCTGCACTCAATATGCCAGCAAATTTGGAAAACTCAACAGTGGCCACAGGATTGGAAAAGGTCAGTTTACATTCCAATCCCAAAGAAGGGCAATGCCAAAGAATGTTCAAACTACTGCACAATTGCACTCATTTCACATGCTAGCAAAGTTATGCTCAAAATCCTACAAGCTAGGCTCCAGCAGTATGTGGACCAAGAACTACCAGAAGTACAGGCAGGATTTTGAAGAGGGAGAGGAACTAGAGCTCAAATAGCCAACATACGCTGGATCATGGAGAAAGCTAGGGAGTTCCAGAAAAAGATCTACTTCTGCTTCATTGACTATGCTAAAGCCTTTGATTGTGAGGATCACAACAAATTGTGGCAAGTTCTTAAAGAGATGGGAGTACCTGACCATCTTACTTGTCTCTTGAGAACCTACATGTGGGTCAAGAAGCAACAGTGAGAACTGGACACGGAACCACTGATTGGTTCAAAATTGAGAAAGGAGTTTGGCAAGGCTGTATACTGTCGCCCTGCCTATTTAACTTATATGCAGAGCACATCATGAGAAAGGCGGGGCTAGATGAATCAGCAGTTGGAATTAAGATTGCTGGGAGAAATATCAGCAACCTCAGATATGCAGATGATACCACTCTAATGGCAGAAAGTGAAGAGGAACTAAAAAGCCTCTTGATGAGGGTGAAAGATGAGAGCGCAAAAGTTGGCTTGAAACTCAACATTAAGAAAACTAAGATCATGGCATCCGGTCCTCTCACTTCCTGGCGAATATATGGGGAAGAAATGGAGATAGTGACAGATTTTATTTTCCTGGGCTCCAAGATCACCACAGATGGGGACTGCAGCCAAGAAATTAAAAGACACTTGCTCCTTGGGAAGAAAGCTATGGCAAATCTAGACAGCATACTAAAAAGCAGAGTCATCACCCTGCCAACAAAAGTGCATATAGTCAAGGCTATGGTTTTCCCAGTTGCAATGTATGGCTGTGAAAGCTGAACCATAAGGAAGGCTGAGCACCAAAGAATTGAGGCCTTTGAATTGTGGTGCAGGAGGAGACTCCTGCGAGTCCCTTGGACTGCAAGGCGATCAAACCGGTCAGCCCTAGAGATCAACCCTGACTGCTCTTTAGAAGGCCAGATACTGAAGATGAAACTCAAATACTTTGGCCACCTAATGAGAAGGAAGGACTCACTGGAGAAGAGCCTAATGCTGGGAACAATTGACGGCTGAAGAAGAAGGGGACGGCAGAGAATGAGGTGGCTTGATGGAGTCAGGTGGTGTGAGCTTAAGTAGACTCCGGGTATGGCAGAGGACAGGAAGGCCTGGAGGAATGTTGTCCATGGGGTCACGATGAGTTGGACACGACTTCATGACTAACAACAACAACTGACTAACCTAAATTACATGTATCAGTTTAAGATAATTAAATGTATAAAGTAATATTATTTACATTTCTGTACTGCTCACAGCTGTAGCTCTCTGGGCGGTTCATAACATTAAGTGGCCCATCCAGATTTCGATAAGGTCCAGCCCTCCTTAGCTTCTACGATTATGCAGGTTCAGACATTTCAGTATCGTCTCACTGAGCTCATATTGTCTCTAAAGCCCTCTTTCTGCCCATGAGGAAGAGGAAATAGAAAAAAGCACTTGTAGTACAAATGACCATTTTAGCCATAGGCCATAGCATTTGGCAAACACCCCCACAGTGTTTTCTCTATGGAAGTTTTGTCTTTGGCTGCTTTCAGTTAAGGCACCCACTGTGCAGGGAAAGGGATCTGACAACAGGACTTGCTGTTCCCATTATGGGGACTGAGTCCTCTTCATTCCTGAGTGCGATTCTTGCATGAAGCACATGGGAAGAAATGTGTCTGTGTCACTCCAAATCCCAAATCTTCAGGAGTCTATAGTTTGGATTCAGTCTATTACAGAGGAGTTCAAACTGGACATCTCTTCAGTCTGTCCAAATTGGCCCAACGCAGTGTGGAAATCAGCTAAATCTGAGGTAAGACTCTAATACATGCACAACAGAATAGTGTATCTTGCATAAATTATGCAAGTGAAGCAAAATTTCAACTTTTATTTTGCATACTTTATTCTATATCTGCATTGTGTTCCATCAATGCTTCTGTTCATAATGGAGAAAAACTGTATGTGACTTTCAAGAGTTCACCAGGAATTCTATAAACTTCCAAATTGAGCATTAGAACCTGGCTGTTCATTTTTTTCCCATGAAGCCTGATATGTGGGGAGCTGACTGCCGCTCAATATCACATTCTGTAGCTTTTTTGCACCTGTACAGGATATATGCAATACAATGATATAAGAGCTTTAACAGTGGCCAGACTGAATTAAAACACACACACATACTTCACATAAAAATAAGAAGGCTAAACTTACACTTCTGACTTGTAAAAATAAAGTTACCTAGAAAAATGTATCAATACAGCATAACAACGTTTGCTGCTTCAAAGTTCTGAGCTCTTAGTTTCTCTGATTACGGTCATATGTCCAAAGGCACAGGCAAGATAAGACTTTAGTTGTTCTGTCTTTATGCGGTGGTGGTTTTGGGCCAAACAAGACAAAATTAGTTAAGACTGAAGACAAGTATAAAAATTGATGCTTTAAAAAGCCCCAAAAGTTGGATTTAAAAAATAAATAAATGGAACTTTCTGAACTATCAAACCTTGTTTAATCTATCAGTCATGAGTGTTTTGTTTTCATTTGCACCTTTCTGAGAGCAAAACTGAGTCAATAGGATAGCAGGAAGGAGCAACCGTGGTGCTAAAAGAGGCAGAGAGAAACGTCCAGCGTGCATCTTCCTGCATTCACATACTAAGGCTGCAATCTTATACTCACTTACCCAGGAGTAAGCCCTACCAAGCTCAATGGAACGTATGAACAGACATCTATACAATTATGCTGGTAATCTGAAACTGTCATGGCTGCTGGTCATATGAGAAAGACCCTTTATGGGAACCTATTTCAGACATTCTCTCTATAGATAAAAAGTAAGCATTGCAAAGTATTTAAGTCTGCTGGAACAATGAACTACTGTAAATAATATTTTATTTTATTGTCAATTAACATGGCTTACTGGCCAGATTTGCACCATTGTTCAAGAAATAAAAAGGCTTTTAAGTGAAAACAATTTAAAGCAATCCTTTCTCTTGATAACTTAAATCTACCTAGCCCAAGAGTTGCTGAATTGACACTATCTGTGCCACAGTCTTGTGTGCATATCTGTGAGATCTTGAAAAACTTACTTGACAACACTGTAAAAACACCTGAATCCATGTAGTTTTCAAGGCTTTTAGACTGTGACTTGGCTTTGGTCACTCAATTTGGGTTTTCAGAAGTAACTAGCACCTTATATGACCTTATACTGAAAGCTGTTTCAAAAATTATCAAAGGCAATCATCTGCTTTATTAACAAGTCACCACATAGGCCTCAAGCTCTTGTTGGGAAAATTCAGCTAAATCCTGGTAAAAAAAAGGTTGCTTATGTGTGCCTTTGAGTTATAAAATCAAACCTGCACACATTTCTCAGAAAGCAGCAAAATTCCAAGCCAGGTTATTGTTTAGCATTACAGTTACTTTAAGAAGATGGAATTCTTAGCTGGACTGAGAAGCTGTTGTAAGCTAACCCTGTCAGTGGGGAAATACCAGTATTCCCATCAGCAGCAGGGAGCTGAGAGAAAGAAATTCATTTGTTTCTTAATGGACCCATTTAATAATCTAGCTGCACAGAGGCAAGTACCTGCGCAGTGTAGTTGTCAAAACAGTTTTTCAGAATGATTCCTCAATCAGACATATTTGCATATTTAGGTAGACACAGAGACTGATCCAAACTGTCAGAAATTCACTGCATTGACTTGTTGATAAGGCTCAGTCACAGAAATTTTCTTTTCTAATTGTCATGGGCATTTCTGACTGGTTTAGAGTATTGTTTTGTGTGTGAAGACATCAAGATGCTATTAAGTTAACATTATCTGGAAACCTAATATTCTGTTTTGACTGGAAGTTTATAAAAATGTCTGTACATGGGCTGTGATTTTGTAGTTGGCAGGGAAGACAATTACCTGGTAGCATGCTGTCATGAGTAACTGCAGGGCATCTGGGTGATCTCACCAATAAAAACGCTGGGGTTCAAGGCAATTCAAGCTTTCCTGTGGGTCCGATTATTCATTCTCGCCATTGGTAAGGAGACTCTGACATTCCTGACATATCACCTTCTAGCAGTAGATTCTGAACTTTGACTATTTTGTGTAAACTTTAACTGGGTTGGGTCCTCTGTTTCAGAGTTTACAAGCACAAGAGTATCCTGCTCCCATATATTTATTCCTGAACATGCCACAAATTTGAGGGCTCAACTACTACTCATGAGATCCCCGATTAGGTTCTCCTACAGCAGCCCAGTGAGGCTGCTTGAAAGACAAAGGAAGGCATCCTACCCTCCATGTTGTTTCTAAGATCTTACTCATACACTTCTTCCAGCTACTCGGTGCCTGTATGCTTCACTGACCACCACTGAACCAAAAGCATCTATGGCATGCTTTAGACTGGAAGGAAATGCAGAACAAAAGAAAAATACAAGTCTCTCCTCCACACTACTTACCTCATTTTGCAGTATGAACACACAGAGATATGCAAAATGCAATAAAAAATCAGTAGAAACATTAATTACTGTGAGCCCGTGTGGTGTGGTGGTTGGAGTGTTGGACTGGGGACCTGGGAGATCCAATTTTAGTCTCCATTTGGCCATGACGTTCACTTGGATCTATCAGTCACTCACAGCCCGGTCTACATCACACGGTTGTCGTGTGAAGATAAAATGAAGCTATGCAAGCCTCCCAGGGTTCCTTACAAGAGGGCAAAAGGTGGTACATTTGCAACATCATCATCATTGTTTTCCAAAGAATGCAGGAGGTTCTGATCACAGATCTCTCACTTCACATCAAAGTTTGCCCACAAATTGACGGAAATTAATAAATTGTTATTGCAGATATTCCAATCATCTGCATGTCATCCATTCAGAGATAAGTTCTATGGGACTTATTCTCAGCTAAGTGTGTAGGGTAGAGGTAGTAAACCCAAAGACCTTGGTCCTATTGCTGCAATCTCCATTCCCCGCCCCTCCTGTTTCACTGCCCAGTGTCCCTGACCACTGGATATATTGCCAAAAGCTAACAGAGTTGAAGTCCAAAACACCTGGCAGTCCTTCTGCCTACCCCTACTGCAGCTTTTTGACATTTACATATAAAATATAACAATGGTGTCTCTTTTATTATTCCTCATTCATGGAATTTGGGGCTGGAGCGGTGCTTCCAAATGACATCATCTTCCACATATGACCCTCCCATGATTTCTATCCTCTATTTTCTCCATTAAAAACTTGCTAAGAAGGAAAATACAGTGGTACCTTGGCTCACAAACGCCTCAGTTCATGACCAAATCGAGTTGCGAACAGAAATTTCATAAAAATTTTGCCGCAGGTTGCAAACTATGCATCAGGTTCCCCTGCACAGGCGCGATCGCGGTCATGCTTGGGGGGGGGGGGATATGGCGGCATTCGTGCGGGGGGGGATGGCTGCGATTGCACCCGTGTTCCCTGCCCAAGCGTGCCCACACCTGGTTCCCCTCCAGCGCACCCACAATCGCACCCGCCTTACTCCCAGAGCGCCCGCGATCGTACCTGTCTCCCCCCATCCCCTGCACTATCACTGGGGGTGTGGGGGAGATGGCCGTGATCTTTGTTTTCTCTGTCACTTTGCTTCAAATTTTTCTGATTTAAAAAATCAGAAAGAACAGATTTAAAAAAGAACGGATTAACCTTATTTACACTGACCCTTACGGGGAAATTTGACTTGGCTTACGACCAATCTGGGTCGCAACCAGAATCCTGGAACAGATTAAGTTCATGAGCCAAGGTACCACTGTAGCTATGCAATGCCTTATGGAAGTGCAAAGTGGTGTACATCAGAGGCACCCCAAGTCTTTTCTCATGCAGAGAAATCTCTTTTTTGAGAGAATTATTTCAGCAGCAGATAGGTAATGGAAGTTACTTATGAACTTTTTTGCTAACCAGTGTCAGCATCTACTTAGTACAAGGGTGGTTTGTAAACACTGCTTGCATACCCTGCAGCATACCACTGCAGCATACCACTGCAGCATACCCTGCAGCATACCACTTGCTAAATGCAGCATCTGAATTAACCCGCAGACTCTATCTGCATATGGGGGACTAACTAAAAAGGGAGGGCGTGGGAAGCTAATCTACAAACTATGTTGCCCCATGCCCGCTTTGTAAATACATAAATAATTTTCCAGATGATGTTCTTCAAAGTCAAACTTTGCTCACAGGAGAAACTTGGCATTATCGAAGTTACTTCAAGCTAAATAATGCAATTATATGCATACCTACTCAGAACACTGAGTTCAGTGCGACTTACTGTTAGGCAATCTTGGGCAGGGTAGCAAAAGGCTCTTTTTCACGGAAGAAAACGGAAGCATTTTATTCCAGAGAACAGTTTTTGGCAAGCCAGGAGCTTTACTACCCTTTGACGTCACACACAGGCGCGCAATCCCCCGTCCCTGGTCCCCTTCTTGCTTCTCTGCAAGCAAGAGAAGCAGGGATGTAAAGAGCTACAAAAAGGAATTCCTCAACTGCAGCAAGCAGTTTTAGCTTACTGCGGAATCCCCACACAACCTGGTCAGGCTATTCAAAAAGGAAGTCCCAGATTTTACTGCAAGCTTCCATTAGAATTAATTAAGCTTATCTACAGCAAGCGCAACCACCATTCCCTTTCCCTCTAAGAGCTCGCTCTGTCACCTTGCAATCTCTCCAAGACGCCATTTTCTCCTAGGGACCGGTTCTTTTTCGCCTTGCTCAGTAATCACAGTTGCGACAGTCAATTCCGAATTGCAGTCTTCCCTTTCTCCCAGAAAATAAACTCTAAAAGAGGGAGGCGCTTCTTGCGGACTCGGGGACTGCAACAAAAAAGTGCTGGCGAGTGATTGCGCCACCTCATGGCAGTTAGTGTTCGTAGCCCGGGAGGAAAAGGTGAGTGAGGCCGTTCAGCCGGAAGACCTGGATGTCTTCCGGACGATTTCTTCCTTTATTTCCAAGACCTGCGATCAGAATCAGAGGCTCTTTTTACACTGTGTCATTGGGACAGGTCGATGATCTAGTGTGACAAAGTTTGCTCATTACACCAAACTATTGAGGGTGATTAAGACCCAAAGGAATCTCTCCAAAATAGGAGAATGGGCATCAGAATGGCAGACCTGGCCTCCATGATTTCACAAAGAGAATAGACTGTGGTTCTGAAAGTTCTTCTGCCAGTTCTCTGTTACTCTAGACTGCAGTTAGGTGTTCCTTAACCATCTTAAGCTTCAGGCCTGGCCCTTCAGTTCCTACTTCATTTTTGTCATGAAGGTCGTAAGAACTGCTTTTGAGAAAAGATGGAGCCAAAGTAGGAACTGAGCCTTTGTCATCTGCTATCAATTGGCCCTCCTCACTGAGAGGTTGAACCACACCTTCTTTCTTCCAGTTTCTACTGTGCACATACTCCCAAAAGGCTTTTGTGTTGATTTTCGCATCCCTAGCTAGGCTCAGCTCATTCCCAGATTTCGCTTTCCCAAACTCATTCCTGCAGTTTTGTGCTACCCATCTATACTCTTCTTTTGTAGCCTGGCCGTCTTGTCACTTCCTATATATGCCCTTTTTGTTTTAGGTCAAACTCAAAGCTCTTTACAAAGCCACATTAGTTTCTTCTGTTGTCTTCTATCTTTTGTTTTTGTTGCATTTGTTTGTAACTATGCTTTTATAGTTTCCTTTGGTAAAAACTCCACCTTTGGTAAACACCTGTCTTTGGTAAAAACTAAAATGTAATATTTTAGTTACATTTTGAAGCTGTAGGAGTTAATGACCAATAAATCTTGGATTCTTCTTCCTTAGGGTCACTCAGTTTATCATAGGTCTTGTTGGTGTTGGGAAAATTCGGATAAATCCTGGCAGAAAAACATTGCTTCTGTGTGTTGTTGTGTTATAAAATCAATCCTGCTCTCTTTCTCAAACACCAGCTTTACAAGCCAAGTCACTGTTTAAAATGGCATTCCTCCCTCGCTCCTTTCTCTCACCTTTAGCTGTAAGCCAGAGTAGACAGGCCATTCAGTATTCAGTTTACCAGGAAGTATCTATTTTGTTAGCCCAGAGCACTCCATGCACCCTGGCCAATCAGAATGGTGCGGATGCATTACTTAGGGTCTGAGTCTAGATGAGCTTATGAGTTCATGGATAATTTCTCAGTAGCCTGAATTTACATGTCTAAGCAGACCAGGAGATGGGTTCAAGTGTCTGGAAGTTACTCAACTGAAATGTCAATACACTGCAATTAGAAATATTGTAATCTCATTGTCACTGTATGATTGGCTGATCTTCGTTTATCCATTCTGTATGTGATGACCTCAGAATCTTATTGTAATGTCTGCATTCTGTCATCAATTGCTCTGTACCTGTGTAGGTGACCAGGAGGGTATAAAATACCCTGTAGTATAGTTGTATTGAAACCTTGCAGCGAGTTTACCTCTGTCTGCACGGTAATGCATTATCGTGAGTCTTACCGCGGGAACCTGGGCCAAACAATAAAGCCACAGATGATCATAACGCTTGATCTTACCCATGAACCCGAGTTTTATTTCCTCCTCACGAATTGAAATTCCAATTTTCTGACACTGGCAAGGAAAGAAGAAGATGGAGGTGTTTACAGCAGTTGTCCTGGTACTGTCTGCCTCAGTTACCACATTTTCACTTAACTGTGGTTACCCTTGGTCCAAAAGAGAAACTGTAAAGTGACGGAAAGGGCCAAAGAGAAGTCCTATAGTGTTTCCTTTAAGTGAAAATTCTTGATTTAATGGGGGGGGGGGGATCATATGCCAAGGTTTCCAGGAGCTATGGTAAGAACATATCTTCAATCCATGAAATTGTGAAAAAGGAAATGTATACACCGGTGTATAGTACATCTAGTGTTTGGTATTATCCATGGTTTCAGGCATCTGCTGGGAGGATTGAAACCTATCTCCATGGATGTGGGGGTTCTGCTGTACCTCCTTTCAAAAGCAAAAACAGTTACATGTGCTGATTAACCCTTCAGTGGCAAAGAGGGAATTGGAGAGGTCAGAGGTTACTGATATCCTAGCCTCCTTTCCCTTCACTTCCCCTCCTCTCCCCTCTCCACCCTTCTTCATCCACTAACACTCCCCCTTTCCTCCACTCCAGCTTCCTTGGGGAGACAGTGGTTGCAACTTCATAAGAAAAACTTTCTGTGGTGGCTGTGATGGGGTGAGAAGGCAATAGCCATGGCCAGATGGCCTTCTCTGTGCTTGTAGATCTGGTGATACATGCAGAGGACATGATCCACAGATTCCTGTGAGCAACGCCCCAGGCACTGTCCCATTTGTGAACAGTTAAAGCATGTGGACTTCCTCTTGGAATGGTAACATTTGATCATATACTGAACTCAGAATCATTTCGTGGGGAGACCAAACCCTTCTGTATGTGGGTTATTTCTTTTTCCATGTATTACTGTTTCTAATTTCACTTTAAATCAAAATGCTCATAAAGCATGTAATTACTATAATAATTCAAAATAAGACAACCAGCACCTCTGGTGTGATGAGTAAAAAGGCACCTATTTAAAGGCAACATAAGAATGAGTGAACATTCATGTGAAGAACCATATCAGTCTTCTAAGACCCTACTCAAGCCAGTTCCTGATATTTTAGTTGCATTTTGAAGCTGCAGCAGTTAATGACCAATAAATCATATAAGGGAAAAAGTTATCAACAGAAAGTCCTAATACATAAAGCTTTATTTACCCATGGCAAACTCATAAGTTGTCCTACTCAAGGTTCATCTGTCAGATAACTGAGCAAACTGTGGGTTGTTTTCTCAATCCCTGGGTTTCCTTCTCTTTCTCTCATTCCCTCCATGTATCCTAAATGCTTTTGTGAAGCTGTAACACTGGCATGTAGAGTGGCAGGCTATTGTTGCTATTTACCACTCTTGCCTGCCACCTCTGAAGCACCCCACCAGATGCTCAACATTTCTTCAGTCTAAGAGGCAAACAGCAGATCTATTAAGGAGATCTATTAAGCCCTTATTGGGTTGCTGTATATGCTGCATACCTGGAAGGCATTACCAGCTCTGCAGGCCTGACTTCAACAATAGCCCATTGAGCTCTTTCTGGGGGGAGGAGTTGTTCCTGGTTAGTAGACCATGGTTGGTTGGTGTGGCTGATTCACACAATATGACAACACAGGATTGGAAAAAACATGGGTTAAATAAACCCATGCAATACGCGTGAATCACTGGTATATTTTCTCTAGAAAATGAAGAGGAGTCATAAATCCAAGGAGAAAAAAGGAGCATAAAGAAATATTACTTCCATATGAATCCTAGTTGCTTGGGGCAACCGCTAAAGGATTCTAGAATTCAAGCAATCCTTGCATCTAGAAGAGCTCGTGATGCTGGTAGACAGCTGCTGCTTCTGAGGCAACCCATCAAAGATGTTGTACCCTGTTTTCCTTATCTTCCTTTTGTGGTACTCTTTTCGTTACACAATAGCTGTACCCTTTCATTTTCTGCCACCACCCCTGTTGGTCACTTGCTCAAATCCACAACATCGTGTCTACCAGAAACATAACAATGAACTTAGTTCTTCATGCTTCTGGGATGGGAAAATTGACCTGAAGTATTCAAGAACCCCAGCACTGAGGGAAGAGCCTGTCGAACCTCCCCCACACTGTAAGTGGTACCGGGACTCCAGATTGATAAAGAATACGAATCACTGGTCAGGCCAGCTGGTGGTGGATACAAGTCTGGAGGCAGGAAGCCCCCATCCGCCATGGGCCTTTACTCGTATCACAGTACAGTGTCTGTCAGCTTTGTGCCACATCCCCTTGTGTGCTCACAAGAACCTCAGCATTGAAATTTCTAGGCAGGATGTCCGTCTCTTCCTCTTCTCACCACAGTCTCTTCCTATCCTTGAATGGCAACCAGTGCAGTTAGGCTGGTGTGCACGCCTGAAGAGTTCCAGCTGGAACTACCATTTCAAATGTCAAGGGGGTCAGCCTGCAGACCAGCTCATCCCCAGCAACCAGCACAGTGAACCACCTTCATCAACTACTTATCCCCATGCAGAATTGCACCGAGTGTGTGCATCATATTATAGCTACCACATGACAGTGTTCTATCCCCACCGTGGACTCTACACTGCTTCTCTCCATATTGAAAATGGGCCTCAACTCAGCCGTAGTCTGGACTTGTATGTGCAGCCTGCTCTCCTCTATGTGTTCAGCGCCTCTTCCACACGGCCCAGTCCCCCTCATAGAACCCTCAACCTGTCCTGGACTCTCCAGCCTCTCAGCTCCAGAACTACGGCTTACACATTGGTAGATATGCAGGGTCTGGAGGAATGGTCTCTCTCTTACAATCCATTTGCTGTGCCAAGTGATTTCTGTGCTGTACCCAGATCACAGAATTCCAGGGAGAAGGTGGTGGCCAGCATCTACTTCCTCACCAATGGGATAAAATCTGGAGAGTTGACAGGAACACTTGATTTCTCCCACAAGACTCTGATTTTCAGAGCAAGTGATGCAGCTCCATTTTACCTCACACTCAACCCACAGAAAACCCAAGTAGGCACTTACATTTTTAGTCATGCACTGGGGCTCTACTATTTCATACAAGAACAAAGTATTACCAAGAGCACTGCTCAGAGCTCCAGCTCTCACAAGATTTTTTACCAGCAGCAGAGCCTCTCATACCTGTTCATCATAGAATTTGTGGAGCAAGAATGGTATAGATTTAGCATGCACTTATATTTGAACCAAAGGGAGGCTCTCTTCAAGTCTTTAGGAGAAAAGGATATAGAAGTTCTCATTTTCAGTGGGTATTCTCCTGATGAAGGATTAGCTTATATTGTGTGGTTTATTCCTGTGCAGCATCCATGGCTGCAATGCGAGTGGGCCTTCAATTTGCAACTTTTTGATTCCACCAAACAGCACCTCCTTTGGAACAACACATACACATACAGGAATCAGGTAAAACATGCCGCTCATTTTCTTTCCAACCCTGCTCTATCCTTCAGACCAGCACTATACACAGGCTTTGTAGCAGAAGTGAACTGCAGAAAAAGTGGACTTCCACATGCTGTTTTAAAAGCTAAAATCAATATTTATGCTTCAAAAGTTATGGAGTCAACAGTGGCCTGCCACAAGCGTTACTGTACTGAACTGGAAGTCAGTATCCAGAAACCTGATCCCTCTGATGTTGTCATACATTATAAGACAAGGTCAGCAATTACCTTGCAAGCAACTGCTGAGGCAGTGTGTATGCTGCCCATACAGTTAGATATTGTCTGGAAAATCTACAGCATTAAAACTGCAGGATCCACTCCGGATTGGGCAAATTTTCTTAAGCTACCTGATGATATAGACAAACATACAAGTGTGTTTCATATACCTAAAAATGTCCTGCTTTATGGCTTTTATCATGTTAATTTGACCATGACAATATATATCCCTGCACACAGAATGACACTCAAGGTCACTGATTCAGTAGTCCTCCAAATTCTGGAAAGTGACTTAGTGGCAATCATAGCTGGAGGTTTCTTCCGGACAGTTGGTAGTACTGATCGTTGGACTTTGGATGCATCTGCTTCCTCTGATCCTGATTCAACTAATCCCCTTGAAGGAATCCAGTTTAACTGGTATTGCACCAAATGGGAATTGGACTATTCCATAATGAGGCTGACTCCAAGTAAAAAATGCCATCCACATCAAGTTGATTTACTCTGGACAAATTCCACCAGAGCAGTTCAAATAGTGGAACCAAATACATTGCAGGAAAACATGAAATATTACTTTATGCTAATGATTCTGAAACGGCACAAATCCGCATTTGCATCCCAAACTGTTCACGTTCTTCCTGGGTCAGTACCAGTGCTAAATATTACCTGTATTGAAAATTGTGGGAAAGCCATCAAAGTAACAGAAAGGTTTGTCCTGTCTGCAAGATGTCTAGACTGTGAAGAGACACAAACAGTTTACCTGTGGACACTATTTTCAGAAAATTTCAAGGAAATACATTTTGACTGGGCTTCCAAAACAACATCTGGGAGGTCAAGCCCATACATGTTTATAAATTCCTTGGCATTCAGATATATGACAGAGAAATTCTACATTCTCAGCCTAAAAGCAAGCACTCAAGGCAGACCATCAGCTGTTTACAGATATTCATTTCATGTCAACTCTCCCCCGAAGACTGGAAAATGTAGCATTTATCCAAGAGAAGGGACAGCACTTCATACCAAATTCATTATCCGGTGTATGGGATTTCAAGATAAGCACGGGCCTCTTATGTATAAAGTGATAGCACATTCCGATCTAACAAAAATGACAAAAATCTCATCCCTGGAGAATAATACATTTGGAATAATAGTTTATATTGGTCATCTGCAGGAAACTCCTCCATCATTTCTCCCCACTGGTATAGCATCCGAACAGTACACTTTGGTAATATATGTTCAAGTGTATGATACCTATGGAGCATTTTCTCAAGTAACTTTGCAGGCAACTGTGCATGATCCCAGAAGAATTAAGCCATATAACATTATTCTCAATGAACTACATAGTTTAATCAATGGGTCAAGTGGCCCTATGTCCCTTTACCTTAAAACTAAAGATTACATTAAGATAGGGTCCCTTATATATACAGTGACTTCTGTATTAAATAATATTGAGGCTTCACCAGCCATTCATCACTCAAAAACCGATTTGCGGAAAACACTCCTTCATATGTCTGCAGAGATTCCTGTGACTGTGGCAGAGATAATAAACCAAGTGGTCGCAAGTATTTGTCAAATAACACAGGAAGTCAATGAAATAAAAGGGGAATCAAAGCTGCTTGCAGTCAGAAAACTAAAAGAAGCCAGTGAAGCTCTAAAAAGGCACAGAGACTTAGGTTCTAAGGAAATGGAGATCCTTGGCAATGGTATTTTTACTGGTCTATCCAATGTGCACAGAGCTTCTCTCTTGGACCATGGGGATGTCAATGTACACACAATTAAAGGAGTGATTGCTGTGTCAGAAATATTAGCAGATCTCATTTTACAAGGTAAAGTCCCTGGAGAACATGACATTAAAATTGAAGCCAAAAGTTGGTCCATTCACTTATGGAAGAATGAAAAGTGGGAAGTTTCTAGAACTTTTTCTAAGAAAAGAAATTGCATGAATTGCTTTTATCCTAAACTAAGCAAGGAGAACCTTGCTGAGTTACCAGTAGATGCTGTGGTTTCTACTGTTCATTATGTGTTTCATGAGAATCCTTTCCCTTGGATGGCAAGCGCAGCCGATATTAGCACAGCGGTGAGTGGATTCAGAATGGTAGGAGCCAAAGCTAATGGTGATCCTGCAAGGATCACCCCTGAGGTAACTGAAGCAATCATGGCTAGGAAAAATATGGACTTGACAGCATTCAATCTAACAGTAGGACCGGACAAAAAGTTATCTAAAACAATTGGTGGTTTCAGTATTGAGATAAAGAGAAACTCTAAAGACATCTTTATCCAGATTCTGTGTGATATGGAAGTTACGTTCAATGTATCTATCTATCTAGGACTTAATGTCAGTGGTCCTCCAATAGTGTTATATATTGCTTTCTCTGACAAGCCTCCAATACTAGTTGAAACATATTTTAACTTCCCTGACTGTGCAATTAAGGTTCCATATATACTTTGTCTTCCTTGGACATTACTGAGGTCTCTACTCCAAGGCAGTAGAGCAAACAGGTGGAATATTTCAGTTGTCTTATTGTCTCACCCAATTGTGAGAGCCCAAACCAAAAAAATTGTTCGCATTGCTGTTTTCACTGCTGACTGTCTAGATCTAGATGGAATTCGAAGCCGGTGGAATGAAGGAACATGCAGCCTTGGTCCTCAGACAACCTGGTCCAAGATACATTGCATCTGTGAAGCAAATACACATAGCAGAATAGCAACCAGTCGCCAATTTCCAGACACTTTGATTCCTGACATTGCATTTTTGGGTGGCAAACTACACTTATATCCTAATCCTTTAGATCTGAATAAGGTCCTCTTAGCAGAATTTGACAGAAATCCAGTGACATTGTTCACTGTGTTTTTCATTTTTGCAGGCTACATCTTCTGTCTTTCCTGGGCCATGATCAAAGATAAAGCTGATTTGAGAAGAAAAGATAAAATACTGGTCTTACCAGACAATGATCCCTACCACAGAAGGCCTTATGTGGTCACCATATACACAGGGAGTCGGTTGGGATCAGGAACCACAGCAGACGTTTTTCTTGAATTAATAGGTGAGAACGGAGCCAGTGATGTTCATCACATAACACACCCAAAGTTCCCCACTCTTTTTCGTGCAGCTGTAGACACCTTTCTTTTAACTACCAAGCATGATTTAGGGGATATTTCTTCCCTTCACATCTGGCACAATAATGCTGGTTCTTCCCCTGACTGGTATCTAAGCAGAGTCAAAGTACTAAATGTGCACACTAATGAATACTGGCTGTTTCTGTGTAGAAGCTGGTTTAGTCTTGGCAAAACTGATGGCAAAATAGAAAGGTCATTTGTTCCTAGAAACATAAAAACACAGTTAAATAAAATGGACCACTTTTTGATAAAACTTGCCAAAGACTTGGAAGACACTCATATATGGCTTTCAGTATTTGCTCAGGTTGTCACCGGTTCTTTCAACAGGGTGCAGAGAGTATCTTGTTGCTTAGTAATAATGCTCAATAATCTACTATTTAACATCATGTTCTTCAGTGGTGAAGCAGTCAAAGAGGTTCTTTCAGTTCAGCAACGGTATCTGAAATCCATGTATATTGGATTTGTGAGTGCTTTGTTTTCTATCCCCTTACACGTGACTATAACCATCTTATTTAGATATTCTGAGGAGAAGCCTTCAGCACAAAGCACAGGTGAGAGTGGGACAAAAGGAACACTCCCTTCTTTGTCCAGTGCCTTTTTGGACTTTTCTAGTTCAACAGATACTTCAGCAGATTCTCTAAGGTCAAATGCAGAGCAAAAGAACAACAGAACATTATCAGAACACAACATGAGTGACAATACTGTAGTTGCCAAGGACACAGATACTACTGACATAAAAAAGAGGGCCCCCATCTTGTTGTTTTTGAAAAGGCCACGATTTGCATGGTGGTGGAGATATGTCGCTTGGACATTGGTCTTTTGCATGTCTGCAGTTTCTTCATGTTTCATTATATTATATGGTTTGACCTATGGCTATACAACATCAATAGAATGGTTTATTGCATCCATGACATCATTTTGCCAGAGTGTGTTTTTGCTGCAAACCCTAAAGATGGTTCTCATCTCAGCTATGACTACGATTGGTAAGAAAACCTATAAAAGCATCTCCTGGATAAGCACAGAACAATACCAGGAGATGCAGCTCATTACAGCAGGCAAGGATGATAAGGATAAGAGGGATATTCACCATGAACTTGTCCAAGTCAGGTGCAGCAAACAATATGGGCCTTTAAAAGAGGAAGAACTTATCCCCTTCAGGAAAAAAGTAAGAGCTCAACAATTAGCTTGCATTTTTGTGAAGGATGTCATCTGTCATCTTCTCTTCTCTTTCTGCATTTTCCTTATTGCATACTCTACAGCACCCACCACCACTTATTATTACAATAAAGCTATACATAATAAATTCTCCCTTGGTCTCTCTAAAATACACAAGTTGGAGCATATCTACATGTGGATCAGTGATGTCTTTGTGCCACTGATACATAATGACTATCAACCCACCTATCTTTCAGAGCCTTCATCTAAAATTCTTGGATTGCCCAGGATGAAGCAAATAAGAGCACAAAATACCAAAAAGTTATGTTTTCATCCAGAAAACATTATAAATAACTATGTGATTACTAAAAGTCATTGCCGTCATGGATATAACATGGATCAAGAAGATCGAAGTGACTATCATGAGTCCTGGACAATCCCAGCCCATAAATCAGATTCCCAAGCCCCCAGCAGTTTTCACGGATTTACCTACCAGTCAGACATTGTTCAGTGGGAATATAAGTCTTATGGACTTTTAAATACATACAGACCTGGGGGATACACCTTTTATTTTTTTCCTCGAGAACAAAAGCCCAATACAACATTGAGGCTGGACAATTTGAGAAGGAACAACTGGCTTGATGAGCATACCTGGGCAGTGATTTTTGAGCTAACAACATTTAATCCAGATGTTGATCTATATTGCAGCATTACCATTATGTTTGAGACTACTAATATTGGTGTTGTTAATACAAGTTTGTCAGTTCATTCTTATAAACTCTCTATTTTCAGATATCAAGCCAAAAGTCAGAAGGCTATGTACGTAATTATGGTCTGCATTCTTATTTTCTACCTTGCTGATGAATTTAACATGTTACGTCAGGACGGGATAGGCTATTTCAAAACAGCTACTAACTTAAATAATTTTGCAGTGAAGACAATCTGTATCATTTTTTTCTTGCTAACTGTACTGAAATACAACCTGGCTTTTACCTTGCTGGAATTTTATCTGCTCCATCCAGAAGAATTTGTACCCTTCCATGTAGTTTCTCAAGTTGATCAGCTCTATAGGATGGTTACAGGTGTTCTAACCTTTTGTCTGGTTTTGAAATTATACCGCTATTTCAGATTCATGTACAGTGTGCGTATGGCAGAAAATACTATATCAGCAGCCTTTTCTGGGATTGTTTGTTTAACTATAATTGCAGTTATATTGTTTTCCATGTTCATGTCATTTGGGTTCCTAATATTTGGTGAATATGAGTGGAGTTATAATTCTTTGATTCATTCTCTCCAAACTGTATTTTCATACTGTTTTTCTGGACTAAAAAACACAGGTATTGTGACCTCCAATAGGTGGCTGGCAATATTTTTCCGAGCTTCGTTTATGTTTGCAATGAGATTTATTTTCATCAATTTATGGAGAGCCCTAATAACCTCTACTTATTTCTCAGTGAAGCAACCTGTCTATGAACAACATTCTGATGAAGCAGAAGCAATAAATTTCTTGGTTCTAAAGGTCAAGAGCATAGGGTTTTCCATTACCCAACAGGAACCATCTGCAAGTGACAGTGACTATGCCAACACAGTAATATATGGAAAAACCATGACTACAGATAATCAACAACGAAGGTTGATAAGCAAGCAAATGTATGGCCAGAACAAAGTTTATCTTTCTGTTTGAGAAAGACATTTGTAAACAGAATAAATTCCATGACATTTGTGTCCTCAGCTGATCTCTAGCATTTTTTTAAAAATATGCTTACATAGAATAATAGAATTGCAGAGTTGGTAGGAGCCAAGAAGGCCATCGGGTCCAACCTCCTGCTGCTGCTGCTGGTCACCAATTTATACCATCCTATTCAGTTGACTGTCCATAATCTCAACAGTATTTCATTCTCCTTCTTTGTAAGTATTTCCTCTGATGTTCCCTTTCTGTTGATTCTTTTTGGGATGTTAAGTACATATTAACTCTGATAATGTCATATGTCATAATGAGAAGATACACACCATCTTGTTATGTCAATATTTTACTTTGATGTCAGTCAGCCCATTAAATGCAAGAAAGCATTTAATTTGTACACTTGCTCTCTGATCCATATGAACATTGTTCTGTCACCTAAAGAAAAGCCATGCAGTAGTGGGATAAATTCATAAATGAGCAATAATTTGAATTATTACTCATTGAATATTGAAATTGAATACTCATTGAATTGTTGAATGTATTATTACTAGGCAGTATGGCAAAAAGATGAGGCTAAATTTAGGTACTAGTTCCAGTTCCTGTTTTGCATGAAAATTCAAAATGCTGCTTAATCAGTAGCCATAATGAAGAGTTGATTTTATATAATCCTGCATCCTAAATGGGCTTTGACCTACCCAGAATTGTGGGGCTGGGGGCCAGTTCCCTTCAAGTTTAGCAACGGTCCTCCCCAATCAAAATGCTTTCTTTGTACGGGGAGCAACCCTGTGCCTGCTTACATTGTCCAGAGCGTAATTGAATACTGGGGATTGCCCCCCTCCAAGGTCAGACAGTGGGGAAGCCTCTGGGGAATCAAAAATCTGCCTGGGCCCATACTGACTGTCCTCTAAGGTTAAAGAGGCACCTTAGAAATAATGGAAAAGGAACATTTAGTTGGGTGGGGAGGGGGACTGGAGATGCCCAAATAAGAGCTACCCAGAGGCCTCTTCAACCTCCCCACCCCCATCTTCTGAAGCACTGCCGCTGTATTTATGTACAACAACTGCTTGCAAACTCCCTGATGACTCCAGAGTCCCAGTGCAATATGCTAACCACTATGCCTTGCTGGCAGTCTTCTTATGGTGTGCACAAAATCCTATAATGGATAACTGGAACCCTGCTTCTGAGTGCAGAGACTTCTGATCATCAAAGTCGGATTGTTCTCTTAATGTAGGCTGAAATAACAATTGCAAGGAAAGTGCTATATATCCCAAATTAAACTTTGGGCTATCCCAAATCATATGGTCATACTTTCAGAAGAGCATTATTTCTGAGAAGACACAGAATTGCACCTGTGCTTTGTCTGAGTGCAAGACTCTATCCAATGTATATGTTTTGGAGGTAAGCAGCTGACTTAATATGACTTCAGTTAAAATTAATTAATATGACTTAACCAAATTAACATGACTTAATTTGGAGACAAGCAGCTGATCAAATCAGCCTTTAGTGTCCAGCTGATGGTTTGGTATTTCCTAAGTCATGTAATGTTGATCTTATGTGGAGTTAGGGACTATTGATGCAATGGTTTTTGTTTTGTTTTGTTTTAAAACTAATTTAGATTCATGGCTACTTTTTCCTCTATTCTTTCCTATCCATTCACTGGTTTCATTTAATGTTACTCATAAATCTTTCAGCCATTTGTTCTGAAAGGTTACATTACCTTTATTTGGTATATTCATGATGATCAGACACATTTTACCATGAAGCCCCTAAGTCATAGGAAAAAGTACTTCCTCTGTTCAAAATAATTTACATATCAGGGTAAAGTTTTGAATCCATATACTTAATTGCATGCCTAATCTAAAAAGAAAAAGCAAAAGCTTGGGTTTATGATCAGTTTGAAGGTATTATCTCAACAAATCTTTAATCTGTCATTCTTTTACACTTTAGTTATCTCATTAAAGTTAGGGTGTTATTTTAATAAGGAGTTATCTCCTGATTAGAATTAATAACTCTGCTAAAATATCCTTCAGTTAAAATTTTCCTTTTTTGAAAATATACCACAGTGCAATTGTAAAGTCAAGCCCTCTGTCTCTGCAAAACTCTGCCAACAAGAGCCAAGCAACAGAAAGCAGATGGAGGCTTGCGTAGCTCTTTCATCCTCCCTTTAAACCATGTTCAGCTAATCAGGCCATTCAGCCTGACCAGTATGCTCTCCAGGGAGTAGCCAGGCAGTGACAGGGAAGCTGTAGGACCGTGCAAATCCTCTCGTCCTGCTTACTGTCCACCTGGCTCACTCTCTTGCTCCCTTTCTCCCCTCACCGACATCACTTCTGAGGGCACAGTTGCAGCCTTTGAGCTTAGACATCACAGCCTTTCATGGCCTTCCTAAAATATAACATGTATTACTGGATCCTTTATGTATTTATTCAGAAAAAGAGTATCCCATCATCATCATCAAAAGAGCTAATTCTAAAGTGTGTGCAAAAGACTGTAACCAAGACCCACTAGCCTTCCCAAACATTGAGGTAAAAAGGGTGGTGAGAGATTAGGCACAAGGAAAATAACAAAGCCAGGAAAATAACATGTGCTCTTAGAGACATCTATTCAAAGCAAAGTGAGGGCCTTCAGTTAATGTCATCTTTTTATCAAGTTTGCTTGTAAGATTTTTATATGACACAAAATTGGGAAGGATAGCGAATACCCCTGAAAACAAAAGCAAAGCTCAAAAGAATCTTGCTAGGATGGCACCTGAAGCTGAAAACAGAATGAAATTTAACCAAACGCATAATTACAAGTTGAGGCATACTTGGCTCAAGAATATTGCAAGTGAGAAGGGTGTGATATTGTTGTAGATTACAAACTGGATATAATCAACAATGTGATGAGGCTCCAAAAAGGGCAAATGCTATCTCAGACTGCAATAATAGTATTGCTTCCAAACCCTCTGAAGTACTAGTTTCCCTCTACTCAGGGCAGGTTGTCCCTTGAAAATCAAGGAGAACATGGACACTTGTTGCCTACTGATGTCCAGTATTCTAGAATTTGCTCAGTCATTCACTCTATGACAGTTGGGGATACTGGGAGACACTGGCTACTCACCCTCAGGATGTACTACTTATTGTTTTCCCACCTCCTTTTTTTATCCTCTAGATATTTCCAATATGCAGCAGCTATACCCCCTTATTTACTGCTACCACCATTGCTGGTCACCTGCCGTGACCAGCAAAATAATATTTATCAGCCAGAGCACAACCAGCTTCACACCTCATGTCTGTGGGATGGAGATACCAAACTACATTATTTAAGAGTTGCAGGGTTTGTTTCAAGGACTAGGAAGCAACAGAGGGAACTGTTGTCCTCTCAGTGTTGCTGGTATTGGAGCTCTACCTTTATGCACAACATGATTCTCTGGTCAGGTTGGACAGTACTGTGCCCTAATCCAGCACAAGGAGACATGCATTCTGCTTGGGACTCAAACCGCCTCACAATGCTATGTCTAGCACCTTCCTGTACAGTGCCTGCATGTCTTCACTGCAATCTGAGCATCCAGGTATTTGGCCAAGACGTTCGTCTCTCCCTGCTTTGGCCTCTCACACTTCCTGTCCGTGAGTGGCAGCCTGTGCAACTGGGCTGGTGTGCATGTCCCAACTCTTCAAGCTGGCGCTACCGCTACAGTTGCCGATGGAGCAGCCCCATGGCCCTTCCCCTTCACGCCAGACGTGGTCCGGTTTCCCCACACCCTGCTCACTGCCGCAGTGATGAGCTGCCCCCCATGTGCACCTCCTACTTCAGCTATCACCTGATTGTGCATTATGCCCTCCGAGGGTTCTATATTTCTTCCCTCCGCATGAAGCAAGGGCCTCGGGTCAGCCTTCAGCTAGACTTGAAAGTGGAACCCACGCTGCTACACGTTTTCAGCACCCGTTCCAAAGTCCTCGGCGTCTTCCATAGGACCATCAGCCTTTCCTGGAGCCTCGTACCCGTCAGCTCGCAAAAAGTGGCCTACACACTGTTGGATGTTAAAGGCAG